TTGCTCGGTACGTTTACAATCTTGTAGACGGCTTGCAAAATGGAATAGGACCTGCCAACCCACGAGTTGTGGCGACTTGCAAACACTTTGCTGGGTACGACATCGAGAACTGGGAAGGGAACCAACGCTATGGCTTTAATGCAATCATTTCTACCCAAGACTTGTCCGAGTATTATCTACCTCCCTTCAAAAGCTGTGCCCGTGATGCGCAAGTGGATGCCATCATGTGTAGCTATAACGCTGTCAACGGTATTCCAACCTGCGCCGATAGCTATCTCTTAGACACCATCCTTCGTGATCATTGGAACTGGAACCAAACTGGACACTGGGTGACCTCGGATTGCGACGCAGTCGACAACATCTACTCCGACCATCACTATACCAGTTCACTTGCGGCAGCTKCTGCAGACGCTCTGAATGCCGGTACAAATCTGGATTGTGGAACCACGATGTCAAACAATCTTGGAGCGGCCGCCGCGCAAGATCTGTTCCAGAACGCCACTCTGGATTCCGCTTTAATTGACCTGTATTCTTCTCTGGTACGACTTGGTTGGTTCGACTCAGAAGAGTCACAATATCGCGCTCTCGGATGGTCTGATGTGGGTACCCCTGCATCACAGCAACTGGCTAACAAGGCTGCTGTTGAGGGGATTGTGCTCTTGAAACATGACCACAAAGAAGTTCTACCATTGTCTCGCCATGGTCAGACTGTCGCGTTGATCGGACCCTACGCTAATGCTACCACTCAGCTGCAAGGAAACTATTATGGCACACCGGAATACATCCGAACTATGGTATGGGGCGCTCAACAGATGGGGTATAACGTTCAGTATCAGGAAGGCACTGGGATCAACTCCACTGACACGTCTGGCTTTACTGCTGCTGTGGCTGCAGCCAAGGCCGCAGACATCGTCATCTATGCTGGTGGTATTGACAACTCGATCGAAGCTGAAGCCAATGATCGAGACTCAATCGCCTGGCCTGGTAACCAGCTTCAACTCATTGACGAACTTTCTCAAGTCGGAAAACCGCTGGTTGTCCTGCAATTTGGTGGTGGTCAAGTAGACGACTCGACGCTTCTCACAAACAACAATGTGAATGCATTGTTATGGTGCGGTTACCCCAGTCAAGCTGGTGGCCAGGCTGTGTTCGAGATTCTTACGGGTCAGTCTGCTCCTGCGGGAAGATTGCCGGTAACTCAGTATCCAGCCAACTATACCAAAGAAATTCCCATGACTGACATGGCGCTGCGTCCGAATGGAATAACTCCTGGGCGCACCTATCGTTGGTACAACGATGCGGTGATCCCCTTCGGCTTTGGTTTGCACTATACTACCTTTGACGTCTCCTGGGTCAACTCCAAGATGGGCCCTTACAACACTGCAGCCCTTGTTGCGCATGCAGGCAAATCAAAGTACCAAGACACTGCTATCTTCGACACCTTCCAAGTCAAAGTGAAGAACACCGGAAAAGTTACATCCGACTATGTCGCATTGGTCTTCGCCTCCACTAGCAACGCCGGCCCCAAGCCGTATCCTATCAAAACGCTAATCGGCTACGCGCGAGCTTTCTCTGTCAAACCTGGAGAGACAAAGACAGTCGGTATCGACGTGACACTTGGCTCCATGGCACGAACTGCTGCTAACGGAGATTTGGTGCTGTACCCTGGATCATATACTTTGGAACTGGATGTGGGCCAACATTATCCACATGCTGAGTTGACAATCAACGGACCTGAGAAGGTTCTGGACTCGTTCCCGCAGCCTCCTTCGTCTTGATCCGAGCGGGACTTTGAGCAGAGATTGAGCCTTCTATAGTCTCGGCCCGACAAGCGTCGTCAGCAGTGAATAAGAGGGCAATATGGCTATTAAGGACTTGCATCGGCAACCGTCAAAGATCATTCTTTATCTTTCTAAGTAGAGCCAATCCTCTTAGGGAAAACAGTGATCAAATGACATCTGCCCTTATTTCTCTCATACTGACGAGTGTTGACCAAGTAAGTGATGTTCAAAATGAAACCTCAAAAAACTATACATCAGGGGCGACGAGCTACTCAATGTGTAGCGAGTTTTTATTGTGGCTTGGTGATGCTAAGCCCCTGGTGGCAACTTTCGCATCACTTCTTTGGTTGACGTGTCGGTCAGCCGACCCCTTCGAATGGCAGTTACGATATTCTGTGCTTGCGAGGATCGACATGATCGTAGAGCCCCCACATACGTCGGTAGGAGATATCATTGAAGATCAGCCGCCATCATCTAACGACTGAAAGCGCCTGTCATCACAAAACTGACTGCGTTTTTCGCGAATCTCGCATCATCTTTGTGCCTGGGTGCAATAAGGAAGTGGGACGTATCTTTGGCTCTACCAGCTTTGTTGGATCGAACAACTCACACGTAGATCTGATGTTGCGGCTTAATTCCCGAGCAGCAACAGCCTCATATCACAACGAGTTTTACTGGGGTTGCCTTACAAAACCTACCATCGCCCCACGTGATGGATGGCTACACCGACATTACGGAGCGCTGAGGGCCTCTTCCCTCATACATCTGCCTCACGGGAGCCAGTTGCTTGCCTCTGCGGGTAGCTCGTCATCTCTCACGCAGTCATGTCTCGATTTTGTCCCTCCCGCCTTCCCTCTGTATATAGAATTCACTGCAATACAGCCACATTGCCTGGAGCGCGGACGGGCCCTATATGACGCTACGGTCCAAGGCGGCAGCGACAGGTGACCTGTTATGGACAAACTATACTCTTCTTGTTCCCCTTGACTGCGTGAGGTCACCAATAAATACTTATTAAGTTCCCTGCTTATACAATATAACTAAAACATGCTCCTTACACTCTTGTGATCTCACGAGTGTTACGGTCAAGAGCGAAGTAGGAACATGCTGTACCATTCAACGAAAGTATCAAGTCTGGAGAGAGGAAAGAAGAAAGAGGAAACTATCTATCTGTGGTCTTTTTGGTTTCACCATCTTTCCCGGTATCTTCTTCTCAAATCGGCAGTTTGTCTTCATGTCTGAATTTCCTGCCCGATTCTTCCGGCCTCGATTGACAAATCATCTCATTCAACATTAGGATTCCTTGGAAGGTCGACTGGCGGGCCTTGCGGAGCCTGGAGGCATACTAACTCCACCTGGATTCCATGAGGAGTGAGCGGTGCGGGAATATTATATGTCGGGGAGCGAGCAATGATCCCCACTGCCACTTGGGAAGCCTGCCGATGAGAGGTCATGCCCTCAATGTAGCAGACTTGCTACGGGCGATTACCCGAGCCCGAAGGCAAGACACTGACATTTGGACCTGGTACTCTCTCTTTGGCAAAATCTGGAGGCTATGGTTAGTGAACACGATCGAGAGACCGATGACATTAATCAGGGACATACCCTGCATAGGAATGGATGCTACATCGGAGATAGGAGCTCCACAGTTGGAAGGGAAGGAGGATACACCATCATGTACGCCAAAGCGGCCTCGAGAGGCTTTGCATAATATTCGCCCGACGTGGCAAGCCAGAAGATGGTATGCTGCAGAGCTCCTTTAATATTATGCGAGCATGTGTTCCCCCAAATCCCGTCGCATCCATTTGTAGTGCCCGACGGCGTGCCAGTTAGATTGCCTATACGCAAGGTAACCTCAGACGTCCGGTTCGACGTCACATCGTCATTGTTGATCTTCCAATCCTGATATCGCAGCCAGTAACTGGTCTTGGTCATCGGGCCCTGGACTTCGAGCCAACCTTAACCCAAACGGTGAGAAAGGCACATCTAACTGTAGAAGATGCCGCCTATGTATCAGCCATGGTGGCAACCGTGCCTTACCAATAGGCATAAGTGCCCGGCTACCAGGTTTCTTATGAAGATGCACAGTTCGGCGCTGCATAATACCATATTCCTAATAGAGTAAAGAATCCGCTTTTCATCGCGGTAGCTAATCGCTTAGAGGTCTGTGCACCCAGCCATCGATGTTTGTCCAATAATATGGCCCACCCGGCGTTGTTTTTCTCCACAGAAACCTGCCGTATATGTATACTGGAGAACGTTTGAGCCTTCAATATTAACTTTAAAGGATGGTGCTCATATAGGCAGTTTGACGTACGAGCTAGTATTGAGAATGGCCAGTCGAGGATGCTAAATTGATGTCTCAATGGTTGAGATTTTTTGGGAGATCTCCCTATAAACTTGCTGGTGGTGTATTACAACACCATACTTCCGCATATACTGCACCCACCTTTACAAACAAAAACACGAGCGGATTGAGTATGTACTGAATATCCCTGTCCCGACGGGCGCCTGGGACTATTTGACCCCTCCCAACTCGGCAGATGGGTCTGACCATCGGACATTTTGCCCAATCCTGGTCCTTCCGAAATGAAGGATGGAATACGAATTTCAAAATGATGGATGCCTAGGTAGTGTTGCATTTGTAGGATTCATTTGCCGGCGGGATCAAGGTTCCAATAACCTAGAGCTTTTCTTTTGCTCAATGAGAGATATTCTCTAGTTTCTATGGGCTCATCGAATGTTAGAGCTAAAATTTAAAACCGAATATGAACATATATTGCCTTATTAGGGATAAGTTTATATTAACATAAAACTCGTAATTGCCAAGTTAGAAGCCAATTTACCTGAAAAACTGGATCCAAGCATAGCCTGTTATCTTTACCATCACAGTGCCTTTCTTTGAGACACCAGAGGGAATAAGTAACATCGATATGTTGCATGGCGATGTATTATCCTCTAGGGAGTACGTATACTAATAGCCCTGATGTAGATGTTGATCCATTTACCCATATGCAAACCCATGTGTTTCAGCTTCCAATCCGGCACAAGTAGCTTTTAAGCCCCAAATTTAGTCACTGGGGTTTAGGTAGATCACAGAACTAGAGTACAAATAGGCTGTTGTGCCTGTCCAAGCTGAGCCGAACGTGAAATCCAATCCCATCGATTATTGAAGCATCAATTGTGATTTTCTCTCAACAGTTGCCTTGTTCGATTAGCATGCATCGACTCTTCATAACTCTTGTTCTTGCTTCAGGGTCTTATGCCGCATGCATCTCGTCCGGGGATCAAACCAATATCAACAACGCATTTAGATCCGGGGGCGCTGGCACAGTCGTCCAGCTCTGTGCTAATGCGGTACTTTCAATAACCGACTCCGTCAAGTTTACTGCTGCGAACCAGGAAATTTCCACAGAAGGATATCCTACTGGCAGTACACGTGCTACCCTCCAAGTCGCCAAGGGAAGTAATGTGTCTACTTTGATATCGGGGACTGGCTATGACGGTGTCAAAGTTAGGAACATTCAAGTTGATGGGAACAGGCCAAATGCCGGCTACCTGCACAATGGTAAGATTAACCAATATTTATGGCACGGAGAAAGGAAGGGCTTTTGGTGGAAAGATGGTATATTAAATTATTGTAGGAGGAGCGAACATCGAGCTAGGGGGTACCAGCAATGGTCAGGTAATTGATCATGTCGCGTCCCGCAATCCTCGTGGTTGGAGCTGCCTGCATGTTACCGAGAGTGGTGACAGTGGCTGCCGGAATGCTACTGTCACCAACAATGATATTGGTCCATGCGGTCATTCTGGTACCAATTCAGCTGGCCAAGGTCAGTGGGCCGATGGGATCTCATTTGCTTGCACCGCCTCAGAGGTGTCTGACAATACTGTGCGGTCTGCCTAATCTCCTACCTAATCTACTTATCTAATATGATTTACTAGATTGTCTCTCCTACGGACGGTGGTATTGTCATCTTTGGGGCTCCTGGCACAACCGTCACTAGGAACACAATCATCTCATCTGAAACTGATCTGAGTTTTGGTGCTATCAATCTCGTGGATCCCACCTATAATGGAAACTATGCCAATGTTAAAGTGACCGACAACACAATTCAGGGCCGCAAGTTGTTTGGATCCGGCATTGCTATCGGTGCTTGTACTTGGTCAGGCCCATGCAGAAGCCCTTATTTTTACAAGGGCCCTACAACCGTCACTGGCAACAAGTTTTCTGGCAACATTGCATTCGCGATCCCCATAAATGGATGGTCTGACGGCCTCAAGGTATGTGTTATATATGTTCTTGTATTCTTCAAGCACTCAACTGATGATACCTTTAGGTTACCGGAAATGACATCTCTGGAGTGAACAAGCCTGTGTCTTCGTACGCTACCGACAACCAATGCACTGGTGCAGTCAAGACACTTTTTGAGAGCAGTGCTATTTTGAATTATTACCCAAATGGTATCCAGGGTACGAAAGATCTTCAGAGAGACTTCGTTTCCTCTTCTGGCAACGGAACAAACTTCATCTGCGTAGAGCCAAAATGATGACMGGGTCCATCACCGTTGTTCTGTCCAACGATCTCTGCAGATTTTAGGAGGCAGCAGCGAGGAAATAAGATCAAGTATGTGTAATGAGAGTCCGATATTTTATTAGAAACTATACTCTGTATGGCAATTTGTTTAACTCAATACATGGTTAAATTGCATGTAAAGGGAGACCATGAATTATGTTGTGTTGAGGAATCAGCATTAATTACCGCTGCGACACAGTACCTCTCTGTATCCCGTCGGAGGACTCTTCCATATTGCCTTTGTATCGTAGATAGTGGTATTTGTGGATGGTATAAAGTATTCTTCCATTGAGCTTGGTGTATTGCCAGATAATGTGATACATCAATTGCTCCTCCAAGTGTGTCTGCTGAGACCTGTTTTAGTAACGGCGAAACCATGTCTTCGTTTTGAAAGAGGCGCAGCCATATGCATTTGAAGCAAACTTGTGACCGTCATAGTGCTGGGCCGAGATAGAACGTTACTATTCCAGCATCTTCTTAGTTTGTGAGCCAAAAGCTTTAGGGACATCCTCGGGGAATTCTCTTGGATCTACACTGCGTTCTAGAAGGGCGAGACTTTTGGCTCTTTTGAGCTGTGGCGTTCCATTCGAATCCGGTGGAACAGGCTCTTCCATGTCTTAGGAGTCCACTTGTTTCCTGACATTAAATGGAAATCCTGCGCAGACCAACTGGGATATACGACCCCGAGGCTGATTCTTTGTCAGCTATACACCATATCAACAAAGCGAATTATGCTGGATCCAATCTCCAGATGTCCATGTACAATGTGTATTGCTTTATCGCTCGAGACTCGGGCGCTTAATATCGACAGTCATATCTGAAACCACTAAACCGAGCCTAGCTGCCTTGGATAGATCACTAGACAATCCAGTCGATAGCCCGATACTCCGACTTATCGGATTAGACCTTGCGCGCGGAGTTCGGGAGTAGTCCAACGGCAGCCAAGGCTTCTTCCTCCCGGGCGAGCTCAATATCATCACAGATGACAACGTCGATGAACGAGGTTTGCAACCTGCTGAGCGACCTGCGGACCGAGTGATCAATCCATGACGGCGAGTAATTGAATTCGTCTGTGCCGATCCAACCAACCTTTGTCATCAATGGGTACTCGTCGCGAGGATGGCGATTGACGATATCAGGAGAGTGCGTCGCCCAGGAGCTCTTCTGAAGGACCGTAATATGGCGAAGCGTCGAAAGCCCGAAAGCCGAGATCGAACGATGCTTTGACAATGGCGCGACTCGGCATGCTTCGGGCATCAGCTTTGATTTGGTAGCTGAACCCGCCACAACTTAGGATACTGGATGGCAGGATTTGTGACGGCGGGCATTCCCCATCGTCTGCAATGACAGATTCTTTCGTCATGGTGACCAGTCAAGGTTCTCCGGCAATCACGTCGGGCGACTGCGTAATGCGTGGAAGGGGTTGTGCAAGCTGCAAAGGCGTAGAATTATTTACGGTATTAGCCACGGAGACAGACGAAACAACAACTTCAAAGGATGCACTAGATGATCACCTTTGACTACTTCCAGCTCAGGATCATCACATCCTTCCTTTTCCGGCGGGGATGTGACCAGTAAGCGGAAAAATCCATCCCACCGGATATTTTTGGTCTTGATTATTCGCACTACTTCGAAGATCCATTCCTAATATGCGTCGGATCGATTCATTTTATTATCCGCCTCGGGAAAAGTGCTTTGGAGCTTCTCTACTTCACAAGTACGCTACAAATCCGAAGGGGTCTACGTTATGTACCCCACTCTCGGATGTTTAGTTCGTGATACTCCGTATATTATCTTCCGATCTGCGGGGGTATGACACCGCCGCTGTTATTAGCTGGCGTTTATTATTTAATTCTGGGCACGCTGCTGAGTCCTTCATGCTGAATGAGTAAACACAGCGGCAAGTCGCTCGGCCATGGCATTTTACAACACCTTTTGTACGCTTCTTGCGGTAGCTTCGCTTGGCGGGGCAGTGATATTCAAGCCTCAAAATGGATACCAAGCTCTGTCAGGTGTGAATACCTCCTTTCCGGTGGATTTGCAGCCATTTTACAACAACCGTGCTTTTGGGTTATACCCCAATGACGCTAGCTTTGACGGCCAGGGAAGTAAGTAGCTTCCCCTCAAGTTGACGTCCTCAATTGACTGAGTATAGATGCCTATCCGGCGAGCCAAATTCCACCGGAGAAATTCTCCATTGGAGGATTCAACTATCGATTTGCTACTTACAATGCCACTGGGAATGACAATGTCCGGACGGAGGGCCAAGAGATCCACGTTCCGCGGGGCAGGTACTTCAGCTATCAAATGCTAGCAGCCGCAGAGTCTGGAATGGCCAGTGGTTCCGTAATGGCCAAATATGCCGATGGCAGCACGACCTCGGGACCGCTCCTGGTGCCTGCCTGGTGGAGCTGGCCATATCCCGCTGGCGGCGACCTGATCTTCACGAATTATCTGACTGACAGTACGACCAACTACAACCGCTCAAATATCTTTCAGACCATCAACTGGCTGGACTCTTCGAAGGACCTCGTGTCTTTGACTTTGCCCAAGTCCACGGCAGGGTCGTCCACGGGGCCTGGTGGAGCGTCTATCAGCACTGCGCTGCATGTTTTTTCTCTGTCAATGTTGCCAGTTCCAAAAAAGGAGCAGCAGTCTGTTAGCTTACAGATACAGTATGCTCGGTCCACTCAGAAATGGATGGATGGGACAGACAAGACTCAGATCGTTGAAGTCCTTGTCAACAATATCGGCACCTCCTTCGTCCTGCGCAACAATACGGTTCGGGTCCATGTTCAGTCACCGCATTTGGAAACTGTGACAGAGGGTGTCATCAAGAGACTGGGTCCTGGAGACCAGGCCATCGTGGAGGTTGGTGTTCGAAACCGACCCGGAGTCCAAGCCGGCAGCGCTGGTCCAGCTACCGTTGTCATTGGAGGCCAAGGGGTTGCGTCTAGTCCGTATACTTTCGAAGCGACATATGGCATCAAGCCTTATGAGGCAACGTATGAGTCTGTGTACAGCCACGAAGCACCAAACTGGTACAACAATGCCAAGTTCGGCATTTTCATTCACTGGGGAGTGTACTCCGTGCCTGGATGGGGCAACAAGGGATCAAGGGAGGCCTATGCCGAATGGTCAGATCCTTTTTTAAGGTCATTCCATCTCTCGCTAATGATTGAAACAGGTACTGGTGGAATCTCAACCAAGGACCCAGCAATCCAACCCAAACTTATCAGTACCAGCTTGAGACCTATGGACCGAATGTTGTTTACGACGACTTCATCCGGAACTTCACTGCCGACGCATGGGATCCTAAGGAGTGGGTGGACTTGTTCGCCGATGCTGGAGCCAACTATTTTGTTCAAGTCAGTAAGCATCATGATGGATTTGCACTTTTCACTGCGGGCTCCGAGGTATCGAAGAGAACAGCGGTGGATCTAGGTCCGCAGCGAAATCTACTCCAGGTAAGCCATTTGTTGAATGACTATCGGACCTGAACTGACTATCTCTGCGCCAGGAACTTTTCGACGCGGCAAAGGAGCACCAGCCACATCTACATCGTGCGACATATTATTCTCTGCCTGAGTGGTTCAACCCAGACTATAAGAAATATGGATTCGCCTCGTGGCCCGGAGGTATTGATTCCCATTTAAGGAACTCGGCTACGAAAATTGCAATTGACAGCAGCCTTAGGTAATGCCACGAATCCTTTTACCAAGGAGACCCTTCCGTACGCTGGTTATGTCCCCTTAGCCGATTATATCGCGGACAAAATCGTTCCGGAGATGAACACACTGGCCGACATGGGCACGGAGATTATGTGGTGCGACATTGGAGGCCCAAACCGGACAACGGAATTCGCCGCAGCGTGGTTTAATCGTGCAGCGCAGGAGAATCGGCAGGTCGTCATGAACGCTCGCTGTGGACTTCCCGGCGACTTTGATACGCCCGAGTATGCGAGATACAATGGTGTGCAAGTGCGTAAATGGGAGAGCAACCTGGGAATGGACCCGTTCAGCTATGGCTACAATCGAGACACGCCGCTGGCCAGCTATATGAACGCAAGCACCATAGTCACGTCCCTGATTGACATTGTTAGCAAGAATGGCAACTTCCTGCTTGATATTGGGCCCATGGCGAATGGGACTATTCTCGAGGTCGAGCAGAAGCACTTGCGCCAGGCGGGAACGTGGATAAAAAGCCATGGAGAGGCAATCTACAATACCACTTACTGGTTTGTCACTCCCGAGAAAGGAGATAATATCCGCTTTACTATCACCCAAGATGCATTTTACATCCACACGCTGGCTAGGCCTAATGGCACGCTGGTGCTGACCAGCCCGATCCCGTGGGTGGAGGGTGATCAAGTCACAGTCGTCGGTGGAAAGAAGCACGGTGATGTGGTGCCTAGCCACAAGGCTGCAAATGGCAGTGTAATTTTGTCAGTGAGCGAGGAGGTAGTCAACGCGGATAACTATGCCTGGGTATTCAAGATCACATACTGAGTGGCTTGGAGAGAGCGTTGGTCAGAGGGTAGATACAAACTCCAACAGCACGATTGGTCCACCCGGCAGACGGACCCCTGGTTACGCGAGGAAGGCTTGGGTGTTTTTGTTTTGGGGGGGTTTTGGGGGGGGGGGAACGTCTTCTTTGCCTCAATTGCAGCGGGCTAGAGCAATATTAGGAATAGTTCTTCTACCAATTCAGCCTATTAACATCTATTGGCCGCCCTGGTAAAAGAAATCAGAATGAGTAAAAGAGTGATTAAGACGTCTATACCCCACTTTCCACTCCTTTCTTGTGATTTGCCAGAATCCCTAAATTTATATTCAATATCCTCACTTTTCATCATTACACTGAGAATCTCAGTGATAGAATCACAATCTTGTCAGTGTGGCATAAAGCATCTAGTGCACTGCGCCTATGAAGACTGATAATAAGGATTTATGGCTGGCTGATTGCCTATGACTAAACTCAGAGCCAGGGCTTCGCCCATGCCCCTCCCAAAATTAAAAAGGCAAAAAGCCCCTTCCACAAATTAAATGGGCATGTGACCATTGTAGAAGGGCATAATCTCATTACTATGAACACAATCTGTAGTATGTTTTATTTGATTTCTTATGATTGTTATTTGATAAGGCCTTGTTCACTTAGAATAACGTTGGACCTATAGCGCTCGGTGTAAAGGTATGCTGGATGGATCAAGATGAGCCCAGGTCAGAACTAGAGGAAACAGAAGCTAAGCTCGCGATGCCTACACATTAACACATTTAGAATATGGTCATAACTGTGTTTACGAGCGCAAACCGAAATCTCGCGGTCAGCCAGCTGTGAAGTCCGCCAATAAAAATGTCTGTGAAAGCCCTCCTTCTCAACCTTCAAATTTGGTACCGGTACGGACAGCAACAACATCTCCCGGTTGCTATCATCCCAGCGCGACAGTCACTGGGATCCATTAGAGATGTTTCCCATTGCCGCAGACAACCTGGGAACTATGACCTTCAAGCTGGCTGGCATCACGGTTTCCTTGGCGGGTTCTTCCTTGCCCTTAGGCACCTCAATGTGCCCAGTCAGTCAGTCGGACATTGTCTTTGGTGTGGAAGTGGGCAACGCCATGGGTATCCGCTCCAATGGGAGTCTTTTCACAATACCCTGGGCCAGCTGGAATTGTGCAGTTGTATAAGCAGTCTATTCTATAAGACCTAGCCCTAGCTAAGATAATATTGCTCTGCACCTGCATGTGGGACTTCCCATCCCCTTTTCCTATGTAACGGATTTCTGGGTTCTAAACCTTGATGACGACCTTGCCCATATGTCTGGCGGCATATAGGTGATCAAATGCGGCCTGCGAATCTTCGAAAGAGAAGATGGTGTCGTCCAAGAGAGGCCTGAGACTGATTTTCCTCTCTGCCAGAAAGTCGCAAAGATTCTGTTGGTCGATCTTTGACCCCACGGAAATCCCCCTGAAGAAGACAGCCTTAGCGTTTTTCAAGCGTTATAGAGGAAAAGAAATTGACTTAGGGACATACCTTATGACAGCGCTCTTGGCTAGTAGAGGTCCAACTGTGTCAGGGAAGCGATCTATGTTGAACCCTCCTAAAAAGCCAACCTGCGAAACAGTACCTCTGCGCGCAAGGGAACGGAGACTCTGGGCTATAGTGGTAGGGCCTACATTTTCAACCACAACATCGACACCTCGTCCGTGGGTAAGATGAAGTGCTCGCTTATCCCATTCAGGATGGGTTCGGTAATTAATGATGTCCACCTCACCTGGCTGACCCAGAGAACGCGCTATGTCAAGCTTCTTGTCGGAAGAAGATGTGATGATGGGGCGAATGCCGGCTGCCAGGCAGATTAACAAAGCAAACATGCTCACGCCTCCAGTACCTGGTTCCACGAACTTAGCATTTTTCAAATGGCGTCGACTAGAAATATTCACCTTGAAGTAAGGCAGTGCCGTTCGATCGCGGCATCTCCAGAGCTGTCCAAGCAGTTGTTCCCGCGCATGTGATACAGGCCGCCTGTGAGAACAGAAGATCAGCACTGTGACATCTCTGGTCAGTTCAAGTCGTGCCCACCTCCTCCCAAGAAAGATGCTTGGGCAAATGGACCAACACCTTCTGGTCAAACACCGCAAATTGCCGCAGCACGCCATCAACATCTCCACCTAGATGCGCTGTCTTTTCCTCGGTTCCCAGGAGGTTGTTCAAATCGAAAATGGGTGCAACATGATCCCCTAGTGTGAAATCACTGACTTTGGATCCGACCGCGACAACTTCGGCAGCGCAATCAGAAGCAGGAATGCCACGTGCTATCACTGGCACAGGGTATTTCCCGTCCATCATCGCAACGTCCCTATAGTTGAGAGAAACAGCATGGATGCGGATCAGAACCTCGTTGGGATGAAGCGATGATGGCAGCTTCTCTTCCACCTTCTCAAGACGTGAACCATCCTCGCTGCGTCGAAACGCTTTGTAGGACTGAGGAGTTGACATGGTGCTCTTAGATTGTGTCAATCATGATCCCCTGCTCGAGGAATTACTGCGCCTCTTTATATCTTATAGGCAAAAGCCATGATTTGTAAGTGTCCAACCTGCTTACAAATGCTACTTTGATAAACTTCAAGTTAGTATCTATGCCATGATGACATAATAATTTGTGTGGAGATGCTTATACCTTCAGTGGGGGCGGAAAATGCCCTGACTTTACACAGATGTTGCTAATACCTGTGTCCATGGGCCCACAGAAACTATTCATAGGTACAGATTTGCGAAATACCAGCCCATCCCCAAATTCCAGGTTCACATCTTCCACATCATTTTGTGGCTGTCCAAACAAGGACAATGAGCTGTATCTTCCTCTGCTAAGGTCTCACTTCATCTGCTAGCGTTGATTTATTGCCTTGAATAAGTATGCTAATATATAATGTTTTAATTATTTGTCTTTCTATTTCTCTCCCCATGACTAGGAAATACTACCACCTCATTTTCTCTAACTGTTGAGCTCGTCAAGAAGTACCACTGTTCTATGAAAATCCAACTTGTGGTTATAACCCACGTCGTATTATATATATAGATATGCATGTATATACAGCCTTAAGACTATACAAGTCATACAAGAATTAACAATGAGACMTAGCGCAGAGCCTTACATGGCACAAGCCTTGAGAATGAAGAAGCTATAACACCTCCTATCCCGAATTATAGGTTCACTGGTGGCGGGGTCTCTGTCAACCTCTTCCTTAACAGTAGATCCTGATCCTTGAATCCTGACTCCTTTGGAATTTACTAGAGTGATACAGCGGCATCGTAACTTACAAGTAATAATCCTTGAATGTGGGAGCTGCAGGCCAATGATAGACCTCCACGTCAAGCTTGTGGGAGGCCTCTTACCCTGGTCACGTTGCGTCGATAACAACAACATCAGCTTACATTAAAGTCTGCCACACTCCATTGGAAGCTTTAGAAGATATCAAAATAGAATTCTGGCGAAGATGAATCTTGTTTCCTCGCCTGCCTAGTCCCATACGCCGGGGAGTGAGAATGCCGTTATGGACTGTAATCACCTCTTTATTCAAATTATTCTCGACCAAGGCGCCTGGCGTGGCATCGGCGGATCCTCTATTACAAATCAATACACCTCATCCAGAACGCATAGTCGGCAGCTAAGTATAACTTAGCTAGTCGAATGGAACGAACAGGCGACAACAGGCTTGTTAATAGGTCGGCTACATGCAATTGATGGCTTCAGTTACCCTTGCAGCCCACTTAGCTCGCCCTTTATATCTAATTATCCTTGGCCAGAGTTATGGAATGGGTAGTCTTACTGCTTGCGGTAACAAGAATATCATATAATTACTCTATAGACCTGAACACAATGACTATTCACCCAAATAAGGGTATCGCAATGTCCCCTCGTTATCATCCACCGCTTCCAAGAAACTAGGAATAAGTGGCTCAATGCCCTGTTCCAACGCCAGAGAGCTCCATTCCTGCAAACTGAGCTCATGGAATGATCGACCATGTACTTTTTCCATATAGTCCTTGAAACTCTTCACGGGAACCTTGACATTGCTCGAATGGTGGAAAAAGGACACCCCGGGCGTCGTAGACGATGCTGCAGTTGAACGCTTGGTGAACCTGGATGTAACCAGCGTAGCGATCTCCTCCGCAATGATCTCGACTTTCTGGAAGTCCAAGTATCCTTCCATTCTTGTCAGGCGGGGCGTCGCACCGAGAGTGACAGAGTAACGCAGGAGCGAGTTCAATGCGTCCTGGGCTGGAGCGTGATCGCCGATAGGTGTGCAGGGACGGTGGATACTAATACTTATACCAGTGTGCTCGGCGAAGCGCTCGAGGAAGACTTCACTGGCCCATTTTGTTGCTGTGAGACCGTCAGACCCGTCGAGCGGAGGAGGGTGAAAAGATACTGATGTGGGCCCGAGGGCGGTCTGCCCGGACTGGAGGATGACTCTCCCGGAAGAGATATAGTGCAGGGGAACATTTAACTGAACGGCAAACTGGGCGAGGCGATGGGTTGAGCCCAGATTCGGCGCTTTCAAAGAGCTGTAGGTGTTAAGACAGTGGCCGTTCGAGCCGTTGTGGATGACTACGTCTATACAGCACTGCAGGGACGCCCATTCGGTGGTTGAAAGACCGAGCATTGGGTCGAGAAGGGTTCCATAATAGATTGATACTTTGTTGCTGGTGGGAAGACCTTGCTCTTGCTCCTTTTCCACGGCGATACAATGCACTCTGTCCACTTCGGGCACCTGGAGGAGAACCTGCACGAGGGCTCTCCCAAGGAAGCTTGTCGCACCGGTGAGTAGGATCTGACAACCTGAACCTTGGTAATGTTTAGGTTGCCTAATATTTGCCGTTGGGCTCGCGCAATCAAGGATGTTTTGCGGTATAGCCGTTTCCGCCAGCCAATTGATCGACATTGATGGTGCTTCAGCCTTCCGAGCATCAACCTTGAGCGCCATCTGTGCCAGTGTGCTGGCGCTGTACAGTTCTCGGAGAGTAACTGATACCCCGATGGAGGTGCGGATCGCGCCTTGTAATCGGACCAGCAACGTGGAATTCCCCCCCAGGAGAAAAAAGTCAGACTCGGGTTGGATGTGCTTATCAGGCAGCAGAACTTGCCAAAGAAGCTTAAGTTCACCCTCGCCCAACGTAAGCCGTCTTGATGGTTGGCTCATAGTGGTTGGCTCTGTCCATGGCATAGCGTCTATCCTTTTCCGATCAATCTTTCCGTTTGCATTTCGGGGAAGCTCATCTAGACAGATGACTGTTGAAGGTCGCATATATTGTGGTAAGGGGAGGTTGCTGGCGAGATGTTGTAGCTCGACGTTACTAGCAGTCTGCCCAGGCATCAGGGCAACAAACGCGACGAGCATTTCGGAGACCCCCTGGCCTTTGACGCACACGACCGCTGATGCGAGCAGATTCGGGTGGCAGTTTACCATGGTGGAGGCCACATCTTCGAGATCAATACGAAGTCCTCGGAGCTTGACTTCCGTGTTTCCGTCCATTCGGCCCAAGAGGATCAGAGAGCCGTCGTCGAGCAGTTTAGCTTTGTCTCCGGTACGGTACATCCGAGTCCATCCTCTGGCTTTATCATCCGGCAGAGCAAATGGATCTTCCAAGAATTTCAACCTAGTCTGCTCCTCGTTCAGATATCCCAATGCAACACCGGCGCCACTGATACAGATTTCACCAGGCTCTCCAGTTGCAACAAGGTTGCAGTCCGGGTCCACAATGTACAGAGAGGTGTTTGGAATTGTTCTCCCAACACTCCGTGCCCCTTCAAGCTGTGAGGCGGACATCGTCTCAAAGGTTGTGCACGCGGAAATCTCGGTCACACCGTAGGAGTCTTGTACCACAGGACAATTCTTTCCTAGCCGGGAAAACTCCCTCTTGAGCTGGTCCGTGAAAGGCTCACCGCCCAGGCAGGCGTGCCGCCATCCGGCGTACTGGTCGAGGTATTCACGGCCATGTTGAAGCATGACGAGGTATTCGGACGGAGTCGCTAGCGTGAAAGTTACTTCGCGGTGGCGGATAATTCTTGCAATTTCAATCAAATCCCCTCGTACTTCTTGTGGCACAATGACAAGCTTTCCTCCGTTCATTATGGCATTGAGAGTCTGTGCAAGCCCCATGTCGAATCCCAGGGAGCTTTGCTGAAGGACAACCGTCGAGCTATCAAGACCGAGCTCTTTCCTCTTCGCAGCGAGGTAGTTAATAAAGCCGCTTTGGGGCAGACAGACGCCCTTCGGTTGACCTGTTGAGCCGCTTGTGTACAGTAAAATTGACAAAGAATCACCCTTCGCACTGTCTGTAAACCTCGTGGACGGTATTTGGGTGTCTGAAATCTCGGAAAGGTTGAGAATGGTTGAGACCCCCAATTCTGAGACATTTTCAGCGGTAGAAGAGGCGCAAACTAGTGCTTTAATAGGGGAAGCCAAGATCATAGCTTTGTGTCTTGCAGCGGGAAGGCTCAGGTCGAGGGGCACATAAACCGCACCAATGCGGAGAATTGCTAGCATGCTCGCCACCGAATTGATTGACGGGTGGCACAAGACTGCGACTGTGTCTCCAGATCGGACTCCTTTCTGAAGCAAAGCTTCTCCAATATGGGTGCTTTTCGCGTGAAGCTGCAGATAGCTGAAATCGCCACTTTGATCCGCGACGGCAATTTCATCTCCATATCGATCAGTCATATCCTGGAACCTTTCAGGCAAGGTCGCTGGCCAGCCGTGAGACATCCGCTGACCACGTTGAACCGAGAGACCAGCCTCGTTGGGGGGGAAGGAAGCGGCCAGACTGCTCTGGACGGAGAGGGAAGGATCAGAGGACATAATTTCAAGTAGCCTGATATATTGATTGATGATCACTTTCGTGGCTTTTGGCGAGTACAAATAGTCCCGACAGTTTACTTCCACAATAGAGGTGCCATCCGCGCAGGGCGTGACATGGAGGGAGACATCATATGGCGCATTGCCCATTTTACTCCGATCGTAATTAAGGTCAAAGTCGTCCACAGACATCTTGGTGATCTCTCCCACGCGGTAGTTTATGGCAACCTGGAAAAGAGGCGTTGCATTCGACACTCGCGGAATATTCAGCGCGTCCACAACCAAGTTGGAGGGAATTGAAGAATTTGACAACGCGGCCATGACTTTTGAGGATGTCTTTTGGAACACATTGGCAAAGCTATCGGTTTGCTGGACCTGGAACCGCAGAGGCAACATATTTAGAAAATAGCCGACTGTGCCGGTGAACTGTTGGTATTTGCGATTTGCGTCGCTCATTCCGATGCAGAGGTTTTCGATCTTCAGCAATCCTGCGAGGAGGACCTGTAATGTCGCCAAGTAGAAAGGAAACAGCGTGCCTCTAAGACTGCGACTCACTTTCTTGATCCTGTCCGTGACCTCCATGCTAACATACCGCGTTTCTGTGTGCACCTTAAAATTATCTGTTGGTGTACGGGTCTTCTCCTTGGCGAGAGGAAGGACAGGCATCATTTCTGGCGGTGGTGAAAGCTCAGACTCCCAGTACTCTAGCGCTTTTCCGAAAGTTCCATTATTGATGTCGCGATTCAACATCACAGAATAGTCGACGTATTGCGCAACCTCGCGTAGGGGCTGACTCCGCTCGTAGAAACACTTCAAGTCATGTAGGAATGTAGACCAACTAGCTCCGTCCATGACAATGTGATGGTATCCAAATATGACCGTGTGCTGGTCCTGTCCAACAGACACCACTGTAACTCGCATAACTTCACCTTCTTCCAGTGGCCATTGGTAAGACGCTAGCCTGTCAAACTCCTGTGACACTGTCGCAGAGCTTGAAGTCCTGACATGTTCAAAGAAGGGTGGTGGGATCTTTAAGACGCCCTGAAGAAGGTCACCATTATTGGGATCTAAAAAGAAGGCAGTCCGTAGTGACTCGTGCCGGGAAACAGCCAGTTCTAAGGCTTTTTTGAACCTGGCGACCGGAAACCGTCCCTGAACATTGTAAGATATAACGACGTTGTACTGGGTAGGGTCCTTCATCCACTGCCCGGCAAACCAGATCTCCGACTGCTGTGGTGACATCTTCTCAACCCGTGTGAACCTTGGTTCCAAGTCGTTTCGTTCTTGTTCGAATCCGAAATCAGAAGGACATGGGTCACATGTTGACTCCGAACTGGTGGTATCAAGCGGTAGGTCCTGAACTGAGCTGTTGTGTTTTGAGCTGGATGCAGTTGACGCAACGTCTATAGAATCGATGTCCTTGGCAAGCTGCTCTTCTTTCTGCGGCACTATGCTGGGAGCATCAGGCCGTGGGACAGCCTTCTCGCACAATCCTGCGACAGTGTCCAATAGTACATCTATGGGAGTAATATCGATAGCGAACTCTTTCGCAACCCATGCCTGAATATCCACAGCCAGAAGCGAGTCACAGCCCAGGTCCAGAAGGGGAGTGTGTACATCCAATCTTTGATCTGTAAGCCGGAGAAGTGACTTGACCTTGCCCAATAATCGCGCAATCAACCTGTCGTGTGCATTTTGCCCTGGCTCCAAGTTTTTCAGCTGCTCATCAGGAATAAAGAGTGATAATGAATCCGCCTGTTCAGCATATTGCCCCTCTTTGATTCGGGAGCCGTTTGAAATGAAGTGAGAAAGCAGATGGTTAGAAGAACGAGAGGATTCCCCGCTCTGGTCAATCTGCGAGTTTAACATTTGTAGCCCAAAGAATATCTCGGCATCCCCTTCGGCCTCGGTTGCACCAGCAACTACCACTTCGCCAAAGGCATGATGTAAATCAGATTCGGACAGAGGCGCATAGCCATGATGCATCATACGCTGAATCACCTCTTTGCCTTGCTTGGCAAAGTACCCAGCGTCGACAACCATACCCAAGGCTAATACAGACCCCACCAGGCCTCTCAACCTTCGCCGTTGAATGAGGCCTGTCATAAACAGTGCTGGCGCGTGATACGCTACCTGTTTTGGAGTTCCGATGAAGGAGGCAAGGGATGTCAGGATCACAAAGAAGTCTAATGTTGGTGCTGGGAACAGTTCGTCGAGGTACGTCGCTGCATTGATCATAGCACTCGCGACAAGACCTCCCTCGTCTTCGACAGTGTACTCAAACCCTTGGTCAGACAGAGCTAAGGGAGCATAGCAAACACCTGCAATGGGTGGTAAACTTTCCTTCATCTGGGTGAAAGCCGAAAAAATGGACTGTCTGTTCGAAGCATCCATCTTCAAAAGCTTCACAGTAGCATCCAGACGAGACATGTCCTCAAGCCAAGCGTCGTGCACGTGCGGATTTCTGCTGGCGAGGACAAATGTCCGTGCCCCGTTTCTCGCCATCCACTTTAAAATTGACAACCCAAGTGGTGTCGCCATATCGATCATCCAGTAGGTTCCGGTTGGGGAGAAGAGGGTGGTGGCCCTTACGACCTCACCATGGCTCACTATCGGAGGAGGGCTCGTCCAGTCTACCACTCTTGGATATGTGACCGATAGACTGTTCGGTGAGATTTCTGCAGAAGAGGTAATCTCCAGAGGCACGCGTGGAAGAGTCGACAAGCTAGTACATGCTTGAGAATAACTTTCCGCGACAAGCTGCCTAGGATTCGCAAGCAACGCACGCTGATATAAGTCCACCACCTGGATCCGACGTTGAGAATATATCTCGCGGAGGATGGTGACTACGTGATCATCGGAAGAAGATAAATCGACAAAAACTGACACGTCACTTGGCAGAACTCGCGCAACCATACGCCGCGAAGCATGCGGGTGGACTGCTATCCACCCTTTAGTGGAATCGTTGCACTTCGAAGTGATAAAATAAACCGTTTGCTGAGGATCGCGCGATTGCTCAACAGCAGCAGCAAGTAACTCATCAGGCTCATAAAGAAGAATTGGCCCACACATGGACTTCAAAAACAAATTCGCTAAAGTGAAGCCAGCAGTAGCTCGCAACACTTCCGGGCTTAAATCATCATTGACGACAGTGCTGTGAACATGCTCAGGCCTTGCTTGGATAACCGGCGAGATATGGTCAGAGATGCCAACAATATTCCCCTTTCCGCCGACACGTGTACCAATCCAGAGATAGGCATCCGTACAAACACTGCAAGAATATTTGACCTGAACGACAACCGAGTCGGCCGACGTCTCGGTTGAGGGAAGCACCGATGATCGTGGGAGCCAACCTTTTGGACCAACTTCTCGGTGCCTGGAATTGTATCTCTTATTTCGTCTGCGGTCCAAGACAAGTCGCGGAATGCGAAGCGTGCAACCATCCCAGTGTAATTCAGGTTCGTTCGTCCAAAGCAATTGCCCATCCGTCAACGCGGGCACAAAAGAACATGTGAGGCGCAAAAAGACCTCAACTACAGCGGAAGGTGAAACGCTCGCCACCGCGGACAATTCTAGGAATTGTAGGCTGATTTTGTCCCCCTGTTGTGATCTCATTGCCCTCCCGATAGCGACACTTATATTTGCCATATTTCCAGTTGTCAGCCAAAGGACGTGCTTGGACCCTGCCACAAGGTCTTTGAATTTCAGGAGCCTTTCGTGGAAGAGGCCTCTAGAGAAGAATGGCTCGTCAAGCTCCAGTAGGGAGATGATCGAATGTTTCTTTGTGAGACAATTCAGGTCCAGATGGTCAATGTCTTCCACTATTGCGGTTGCGGTACCCGATGCGGCTAGAATCCTCTGAATACCCTGCAGGAGGCGGGCTACTATTAGCGTCTTGCCCCCTAGGAAGACCACGGCCTCCGTGAGCGGCACCAGCCCCGTCGAATTCATTGGCTCTCGAAGCATCATGACCGTATCATTTACTGCCTGAGTAACCACTACTGAAAGGCCATCACCGTCTGGATGCATCGAGCCCTGAAAGATGTGATCGATGCCTGAAAATCCCTTAGAGCGGAGTTGTGCGTCGCATCTAACGGTTGACATGTCCGACCATGTCTGGGCATCATGATCGTACCCTTGCCACCACTGGGGAAGCAAGCCACAGGTATACAATAACGACGCTGGCATTCGCCCGGTGAGTCTAACGAACACAAGGTAACCACCGGGCTTTAGCATTGCGCGGCAGCCTTCGAAGAGACTGGTGGATGMATCAGTTGCATTGAGCGGATTGGCAGCAATTACCATGTCGTATTTCTCGCCGCCATATTGAGCAACGTCGAGGGTGGTAAAGTCAATGACCTTGGAATATAGGTTGCGGTGCTGAGTCGAGAACTTGGCCACCATCTCGTTGAGTACTACTGAAGCCGCGCTACTCAGACAATAGGAAGTATACCTATCATCAAGAGCTTGCAATATTTGCCGGGTAATCACAGCAGTTCCAGCATCAAGCTGCAGAATGTTCATGTGCGGATGCTTGTGCACAATACGCTTAACGATAGAACAAAGGTCCTTGTTCGGCAGAGAAAGCATCCCCGGAGCCTGGCATAAACGCTCGAGGGTTTCAACTCCGTTCGACGTGTCAGGAAGGTCCACTTCCCCTCGCAAGATTGCTGGCAAGGCCATGCCTAATGAATGAAATGATTGAAGATCCACAATTCCCGCAAATTTGTCGATCATTGCGAGGATATCCTCTTCCGACATTTTGCCACGATCTGCGTTAGCAATGTAGTCCTCAGAGCCGTTGTCATCCGCAGCAATGCGGCTAATCTCACGGTACAAGAGCTGATGGTGAGGCATGAACTCTGCAGATTCGAGTGGATGAAGCTCGTCGAGTGCCCTTCGGAAATGATACAAGGCGATTATATCTGCTGCGCTTCTCCAAGCCGTCTCCTCCTTCGGGGTATGATATGAAGATATCCCTGAATATCCAAAAGGGTCGCTCTCCCACACCACTTGTGAGAAAAGGTTACGGTCGCTCGAAGTATCGGATCGAGGGACACTCTTCATAACCAAGCCCTCGATTTGCACCATAGTGTTTCCGTCTGGATTGTACAACGACACATCTCCTTCTACTGTGTTATTGTCGGAATCAGTCACAAAAGCGTCGATTTCGCATGAGAGACTCTCCAGAGCAAGGTGAGGCTTAACGAGGGCTCGACGAATCTCCTTTGCATGGAACGATGTCCAAAGTCCATTACTCAATGGTGAGGCAAAGGCACACATCATTACCTGGAATGACGCTTCTAGCATAGCTGGAGGGAGTACGGATCCTGAGCCGATCGTGTCGGCTACCCAAGCTGCAGACGCAGTGGCTTCGCCCAGAGACCGCTGGATCGAGGTTATGCTTCGAAATGGTCCCGAATAGCTTGTGCCAGCCTGTTCAAATGAGTCGTACAGATCGGCAACATCTACCGGCGTGAGAATGTGCTTCTGTTGTTCCCTCGGGGGTAACTGGTCACAATCCGGCTGGCTGGCTTCGCTGAGATAAAGGGTTAGACGTGCAGTGCATAGCTTGGTTAAGACCGATCCGTCGCTATCGCATGCATAACAAGAGGCTTCGGCATCGAGTCTGGTATTCGATTCTGTCTCGCTGTTTTCGTTACGGAATCGTATTCTCGTGATATATTCTACCCCATCGCTATGCTCTTCCAAAACCATGGGTTCCATAGCAACGAAATCGTTGACCTCGAGTAGTTCAAGGCTTTGGCATACAGCTGCAGAACTCGCTGCAGCTAATAGAGAGGAAATGTAGAAGGCTGCCGAAACCACCTCTCGGCCCGTTTGCTTATACCCTTCAGCCCAAGGCATTTCCTTTAGATGTAGGATATTCCTCCAACACATCTCATTGGGGAATTCGCTGGCAAATCGCCGACCCAATAGCGGGTGCATAGGTGTACTTTCGAGACGGTATCTTCGTGAGACGCGGGACTCTCTCCAGTATCTCCTCCTATGGTCCCAACAGTAGGCTGGTAATCCCTTTATCAGTTGGGAGGGCCGATTACTAACAGCCTGGAGGAACCTCCCAATGTCCAGATGTTCACCCATCCGTTCCCAGAGGCAACCAAGGGCGGATGATGCAGCCTTGAGGTCATTTTGCCCTCGGTGAAGTAACGAAGTATAAAGAACATTCGACCTCTCTGCTTGCTTCAACGTATCCAACACAGGACCACGAAGAGCTGGGTGAGGTCCAATCTCGATACACCCACCAAGGTTTTGACAGCCGCCAAGCGACATCTCCACTGCCTGGGAAAAGAGAACGGGTTTGACCATATTATCGACCCAGTAAGTTCCAGAGAAGGCTTGGATATCCCTGTTCAGTGTTGCACTGCTTCCCGTCACGCTTGAGATCCATGTACAGCCACTCCTGGGTGATTTCACTTGGATATTGCACGCCTTCAATGCTTCGAGATATGCAGCAGCGCACGGCTCCATATGATGTGAGTGGTACGCAACATCAACCTGCAAAGTTCTTGCGAATATCTTCTTACCGTCAAGGAGTTCCTTGGCTTCGAGAATTGCATCGTAATCGCCCGATAACGTTGTGCTCAGAGGCCCATTGCTCGCTGCCACCACGATCCTCCCCAAAAAGGACGGCCCGGAGCACAATTCAGTGGCGTCGCGAAAGGAAAGGCCAACAGCGAGCATGCCACCCGATTTAACGGGCTTGGTGTGCAACCCACGGTAATAGGCTATTTTCATGGAATCCTCTGCCGAAATGATGTTGAGCGCATAGGCGGCCACTATTTCGCCAGATGAGTGGCCCACGACCCGATCGACATTGACTCCACACGCACACAGGAGATCATAGACAGCTATTTCAATGGCGGTCGTTACTGGTTGACTTACTTCAGGCTTAGAGAGGCTTGACGAGGGTTTGTCTGCTAAAAGTGCCTCCTGAAGGGACCATGACGGCCCGTCGGGAAGAGTTGCTAGAGCATGCTCACATCGCTCGATGGACCTGCGGAAAATGGGAGACGCATGTAGCAGTTCACGGCCCATTCCAACCCATTGTGCGCCTTGCCCTGTGAAAATGGCCATGACCTTTGGTGGTTCGGGTGATTGCCTCCAATGCAATTGGCCATGTTCGCTCCCTTTGCTGGCTTTGTACTCTTCAATGACCTTATCTATACCGCGGAGGAGCTCGTCTCTGTTTAAGGCAGTGACAGAGGTCTTGAATGGCAGGACGGTTCTTTTGGCTAAAGTCCAGGCCAAATTACCCAGATCTAATGCTTCGTCGTTCCTCACGTAACGGGCTAGTGTTTCAATGTTTGAATATAGGGATTCTTCAGTGTGCGCTGAGAAGAGGAATGGGCCGGCGGTTACATTGATGATCGACTGGTCACAGTAAGTGGCGTGGTTTTCCGATTGGTGGGGTACATAGCTCTCGATAATGGCATGGGCGTTGGTCCCTCCAAAACCGAAGGAGTTTACACTCGCCCTCAAGGGGGAGCCATGGGAAACGGGTGGCCAGGTCATAGTGCTTGTTGGAATCCTGAGATGGTCGTAGAAAGGAGCGATATTGGGGTTGAGGTTGTCAAAAAGCATGTTTGGCGTGATGATCCGGTTCTTAAGGCACATTATAGCCTTCATCACGCCGGCAAGACCTGCACAGCCTTCCAGGTGGCCAATGAGAGTCTTGATACTTCCCACATACAGTTTGTCGTCTGGACTAAAGACAACGCTCTCTGGGTAGAATGTCTGCTGGATTGCCTGTGCCTCGACGGGGTCTCCAGCCTGCGTTCCAGTGCCATGGCACTCGAAATATTGGCATCGGTCCCGAACCGGATCCAGGCCACTGCGCTCATAGGCCTCACGGATTAACGCCGCCTGGGCCTCCGGATTGGGCATTGTAATTCCCGCAGATCTTCCGTCCGAGTTGACCGCAGTCTCCCGAATGATGCACTCTACATCGTCGCCATCCTTCAGCGCCTGATCCAAGGTTTTGATCACGACTGAAGCGCACCCTTCGCCTCGGGCGTAGCCGTCAGCATCCCTATCCCACATGCGACACCTTGACGTTGGGGACAGCATATGTAGGTTGGAATGACTGATATAAACCTCAGGGTCGAGCAGGAGATTGACGCCACCTACAATGGCGGTAGTGCAATCGCCGTTACGTAGACTCTGGACCGCTTGGTGCAATGCCACCAGGGAGCTGGAACATGCAGTGTTGATAGTCATTGACGGCCCTTTCAGGTCAAAGAAGTATGAGACACGATTTGAGAGAATACTTGGCGATGTCCCGGTTGCATGCCACCGGCTGATCGTGTCCAAATCCCGAGCTTGAATGTCGTGATAGTCCGAGGTCATCGCGCCAATAAACACCGCCGTGGATGAGCCGCGCATCTGTTTCAATGTATATCCAGCAGCTTCGAGCGCCTCATATGTCGTCTCGAGTAAGAGCCGTTGTTGCGGATCCATTGCCTCCGCTTCCGCCGCACTAATGTTGAAGAAACCAGCATCGAAGCGATGAACATCACTGTCCAGTATATAGGACTTATTCGGCACATCTGTGGCTCCATGATTCTCGCCGTTGGGATGATGGAAGTTGACGAAGTTTAATCGTTTGGGATCTACATCCGTAAGGACATCCTTTGGGTTGGACAATAGTTCCCAAAGTTGCGAAGGGGATGCTACGCCTCCTGGAAATCTGCAGGCGGTCCCAACAATAGCAATTGGCGTCTTCATGGCAGCGAGATGAACTTAATATTGACGAAAGAAAACCTTCCAGCAAAGATATGGGATACGGGGCGGAGCTTAGCAATGGAATGGCTTGACCACTACAGCAAACATACGTGGAACCTTCGAGCTTTTATCCTATCATCAGGGCATTCAGCCCCATTCACCAGCCATCATCCCTTCAGTGCACTTCACGGCTGAGCCATTGCGTACTCTGAATCTACTAACCGCAACTGTCTTCGGTACGTGGCACTCAGTATCCTGTGCAGTGAAATCGTTTTGTGCCCGCCATTTTAGCTGAAGCAATTTCCCGTTTAGTGTTCTGTTCAGCTTGTTCGATCGCCATAGTTGCATGATCTTGCAATTGGTCCCATCCGGTTGGGTATCGGCCATTCCAGGATGGTGCATCTTGCAGATGGCCACCTGGTTACATGTGACTAGATCTTGGTGATCACCATCTTACCGCTTGGCACTGCGAGAAATTGACGTAAAAGTATTCACATGCAGTACTCCAATGCAAAATATGCTATAAATTGTGGTTTTGTCATTCATACGTCGGCTTAAATATCTCGAGGGGCCGAAACCATCGCCCCACAATAACAAAAGTCGGGGAGCACTCACTCGCAGAAAATAGCTCTCATCCTTGAACACTTTGGGGGAAGGAATGTGGACCTCAGCCAGCCAGCCGTCTTCAATCCCTGGTTTAGTGGGAATACGAGGAACACAGTTACATCAGGCACTGAGATGGACCTTGGCACTCTATGCCTATGGGCTCGTATAGCCTGCGTCATGCGGTCGCTGTCACAAACGCACAGAGAAGGCGATGCCCCACCCCAGGCGGATGAAAAGAATATCATGGTATAACCAGAACAGAAAAGGCAGGGCAGTGTTCCTTGGGTTCCCCTCGTCCTTTTGCCTCTAATCTCATACAACAAACTAGTAACTAGGAGGCTGAGTGATGGAAATCTCCAAGAAACCAGCGGCCCAGCTGCCAAAGCCTTTCCACGTTCTGAGTCAAGCTCTGCACCTCTCGAACAGGAACCACGCAAAATGGTGGTATAGCACTGCTCCGATGTTTGCCGCCATGATGGCGGGGGCCGGATATGACGTTCACGCACAGTACAAGTTCCTTTGCATCCACCGCGAGGTCATCATCCCGGCGTTGGGTCCGTACCCTGAAAAGGGTGAGCCCATGCACTGGAAGAGCCATCTGACGCGCTTTGGACTTCCCTTCGAGCTGAGCTTCAATTTCTCCAAATCACTGCTGCGGTTCGCCTTCGAGCCCATTGGTCCCGTAACGGGAACGCAGGATGATCCATTCAACACCCAAGCCATCAGGCCTGTTCTCCAGGATCTGAAGGCCATGGTTCCAGGGCTTGACTTGGAATGGTTTGACCATTTTACCAACGCACTGGTCGTTTCAGAGGAGGACGTTCAAACTCTGCGTAATGCAAATTCTCATATCCCCGTCTTCAAGACGCAGAACAAGCTGGCGGCCGATCTAGAGCCATCCGGCCAAAGTGTCTGGAAGACCTACATCTACCCCCGCATCAAGTCCATCGCGACCGGGACGCCGAAAGAGAAGCTCATGTTTGACGCAATTAAGGCTGCCGACAAGAGTGGTAAAGTTGCCACCCCACTGGCAATCCTTGAGGAGTTTATTGCTGAGCGAGCGCCTACCCTGATCGGCCACTTTCTCTCTTGTGATTTGGTTAAGCCATCCGAGTCGAGGATCAAAGTTTATTGTATGGAACGCCAGCTGAACCTGGCCTCCATCGAAGAAATCTGGACACTGAACGGGCGACGGGACGACCCAGAGACACTGGAGGGGCTGGATGCGCTCAAGGAGCTGTGGCAGTTATTACCCATCACGGAGGGTCTGTGTCCACTGCCGAACTGCTTTTACGATCCTGGTACCTCACCGCAGGAGCAGCTTCCCTTCATTATCAATTTCACCTTGTCTCCGAAAAGCCCACTTCCCGAGCCACAGATCTATTTTCCTGCTTTTGGGCAGAACGACAGAGCCATCGCAGAAGGACTGGCCACCTTCTTTGAGAGAAGAGGGTGGGGGGGCCTGGCTAAAAGTTATCCATCGGATTTGGCATCGTACTAGTAAGTCTTGACATATCCCACACATTGAAGGAATAGGGCTGATCTCCATCCGCAGTCCGGATGTCGACCTGCGTACCTCAAATCACCTGCAGGCCTGGGTCTCCTTCTCTTACAAAGGAAAGAAACCGTACATGAGTGTCTACCTTCATACCTTCGAGGCCTTCAATGCTGCTACCGAGGAGGTGACAATGTGTCGTGGGGGTCAGCATCACTGAACTAGATTACCTATTCATTTTAAATGCATACACTAAACGTGTTGGTTGATTACATTTGGGGAACTCGTAGCCGCAGATTATTTTCTTATCCTAGCCATGGGTGCTGCAGATGCAAGGAGAAGTCTGCTTCGCTTAGGACAAGAAAGAAAACTCGAGTTTTCTCTCTGTCCCCACTTTATATTTCTGTCCGTAGGAGAAGTGATCCAATAGACCTTGTTGCCTCGCCCTCTCTCCAAAGATACAAGGGCCACGTATCATTGGTACGTATCGCCAAGGGATCTACAAACTAGTTTATATTTGAGAGAGCGTACCATTGCAATTTTCATACCCCTAACAAGTCTCAATGTGCAGAGTAAAGATCGCACTTAGACGTGCAGTGTGGATACAATCATGTTAAATTCTCAAGCTCTAGTTTATTGCATCTATGCGAAACCTTACTAGACAACTACCAAAGTGCGGCCGCCCTTGTAGAATTGCACCGATCAATTGAGACACAGATACTCAGGGTAGCGATGAGGAAGAAGCCATCTGCTCGAGAACCTCATCCGTATACCCCCATAGCAAGGTCGAGTAATCCGACGCCCAAGTGGCGCCCGTCCAAAACGTGCTGTTGAGCCCCTGAAGCTCATAGAGTTGCCGATAGAACCCGCCACGGATTTCCTCCGCTGAAACGAACATGGTTACAGGGGTGTGGCTCGCGAACTTGACGATCTCAGGCCTCTGGGTAGAGTATGTTTCCTCCGCACGGAGAAGCTCGAGCTTCTCATACATGTACGCCTTCGCCTCATCCTCGCCAAAGTCGGACCCACCGACTAGCTTGATGTTGTGGTAGCCGGGGGCCCAATGATTATCCAGGCGCCAGATGAATGGTTCCTCGGGAACACCGTACAGGCGTTCTGGGTCGACGTTAACGAGGTTCACATCGTTGGGGAGACCGGTGTCATTGACAAGCACAGCCCAGTACTGATGATACTGCCACTTCGAAAAAATGTGCGATTCCTGCTTGCTGAGCGGAAAGCCGTGGAGGTTGTCCAGCAGTGGCGGAATGGTAACCAACAGTTGCTTGCCCTTCAGAAGCGTCTTCGTCCCATCAGCACTGCGCGCAATGACTTCAACGCCATTCTCGGAGCGCTGAACAGACTCGGGAGTCGTTTCCAAAAGAACGTCACTGCCGAGCTCTTTGCTAGCACTCTTGTACAGAGCGGCGATGCCCTCGATGGGACGGACGTAGCCCTCGTTCAAGGCGGCGGCGTGGGGGACGCCGATGTATTGGATGACGTAGAGGGTGATCATTTCGAGCACGTCGCCAGAAGTGTGAGAGAAGAGGGCGTACACGGCATCCTCGAGATGGTACTTTTTTACGAAGTCCGCGAAAGGACTGACGAGGTCCTCTGGCACCGGTTCTGGGATTCGGTAGACGCCGTCATCCAAGAACCCAAACTGAGAGATGGCATCGACCCATTTCGCAAATGCTTCCCTGTCCCGGAGCTGGCCTGGAGGGTATTCCGTTCTTTGCCCTGTTTTGAGGTTCACGTAGTCCTCGTGCGCGGGAGCTGGGTTGCGGCGCCCGTAGGGTACCTGAAGCCGCTCCAGATAGTTCCGAGTCACAGTCGTGTTGAAGAATCCTTCCACACCGAAGTTGAGTGGCGTATTATCTTCAGTATAGTAGGTTTCGCCGTGACCGCCCAGATAATCGTTACGCTCAACGACAGCGACGGTCTTACCTTGATCCCTAAGACGAATCGCGGCATACGTTCCCGAGCTGCCACCCCCAAGGATGATTACATCACGAGAGATGGTGTCGTGGGCGACGATCACATTCGCCAGACTAAGCCAGGCGACGCTGGAAAAACCAAGTAAGCTCGCGATCCTGGCAGCCATCTTCGAGAATGTCAGCAAGGGAAGGTGAAAGATTACTAAATGCACCTCTACCGATTTATAAGTAACAAATAATCATACGATGTTTGCGCAACAGCTTGTGCGTGAAGCTTGACTCACGAACTTGCTCACCTTGGACCCTGGGCCTTGCTAGATTGTGATCGCCGGCCTGCAAGGCCTTGGCGTCTTGGGAATCCAGGGCAGCGCCACCATGAGTCCATGACCAATCACCACTTCTTCGGGTCACATTGCAGGAAGCTAGCGTGATGATACCTCGCTCCAATGTATTTGATTTGAAACCGCAATCCATGATTTATGGTATGGCATTGGCAACCACATTGAGCAGCATTGCCAGCTGTAAAGTTCGGCGCTGACGGGACGCCAGCGGATGAATGAATTAACTGGCCATGAAGGGCTGGACCTGCAGTATCCTTGAGGATACCCTTGTCTCTATGAGACATGCATATAGGCTAGCTAGGCTAGCGTGGTCGGTCGGCGTACATGGCCGATTCCGATAGGTGCTTTTATCAAACGCATTCTGAAAGGTCGCTTTAGATAGCGTTACACTCCTGTGCTCTTGGTTGATCTCATCTCGGCCAATTCAATTGTGTCATATTCACTTGTCTAGCGGAAACCTCACTGACCTTGCATGCGGCCTTTGTGCTGACCTATCACACAATGCATACATAAGTAGCATTGCGGCTGAGCTGCTGAGTTAGATCAGTCGAAATACCAGGATATTCATCGTTACCTAGTGCGGTCCGATTCAGCCAGGCACGTATATCACCTCGCATCCGCAGACATGGATTCTGACCTGGAACGTCCAACTATCGCCCCTCTCGTCTACTGTACTCAATGATGTTACCTCGCGTATGAGATCCCAGAGCTATGGGATTCATGACAGTCTGGCCGAGTGATGCCGAGGTATTCCCTCACCCATGCTTCAAGTCCGTAGTAGGTACATACCATCAGGGACCGGCGAGTTACGGCGTGAGGTGCACTGCAGTCCAATAGAGTTGCAGGGATACTACATGTCCTCCCATCCCTCTCAGCAGGTATCACATGCGGAGTCGATTGGACGTAAGCAAGACAGAGCGAGCAGTAGAGGAATGCGGAAATCAGGAAGGAACCTTGGGTGGTTATTCTACTTCAACAACCCTTCGTCGAATATCGAGTCTGCACTCTTGGCAACAGTTATGAGCTTCTAATACAAGACATACAACGTACAGAAGGTACAATGTTACTAGTGATAAAAGTCTCTCTGAAGAAATGGTCGGACTGCCTTCCCCATCATCCACTCTACGCCACTTCAGCGTAACGCTGGGGTAAATTTGATCTTCAACGGCTTTGTACTCCAGGCTTTGAAGACCAACACGTCTTTCCACCGGTCCGAGCCAGGACCAGACGCATCTCCAACCAGGCTAGGTCATGGCCGATGCAGTTGCGATGGCCGTGGCTGAACGCCCGCATGGCGTGGTGATCGTCGTTCTGATACACGGGATCCCCGAGCCATTGTTCTGGGATAAATTTGCCTGGATCGACAAAGTATCGGCTGCAGCAATCGATGCAGTAGCGTGCAATGTCCACTTGAGTACCAGCGGGGATCCAATGCTCGTCCATGAAATTACCCCCTGAGGGACCCAGCGCAGAAGGACGGCGGGACCGGGGGAGAAGTTCCGGAGCACATAGTTTATGCAGGCGCTCAGGTACTTCGGCTGGTTCACGCTGATCGAGCTAATGCCTCCAAAGCTGTTGAAGGTGCTTCGGATTTCGCCGAGCACTTTGCGCTTGGCATTTTTGTTCTGGGTCGGGAAGTATAGCGTGGCGCTTAAGCAGTTGCTGTGTTCTCGCCACCTGTGATGATGAGGGTGGAGCAATTCCGATCTATTTCGTAACGTTGGAGCCCTTTCTGTGGATCGAACAAGGTGGTGGTCAGGTCCTTGTAGCGGGTCGTTCGGTCCACTGGACGCGGCACATTGTCATGGGTGTACCTGCGGTGTGTGAGAAATTTATCACGCAAGGACTTGGGGAGTCCCGAACAACGTCAGGAGATAGAATATCCATGGCTAGTACCCCACAGCATGCATCATGGGGCGGAGAACTCCAGGCAGCTGTAGGTCTCGCCGGATGCAAGCTCGAAGCCGAGATTGAATGTCTCATACTAGGGCAATGACACTGTGTCAGCTGCCAATGTCCTGGACCAGGGGTAGGTATCTTACGTTAAACCAAGCCGTAATTTCAGGTGTCTTTTCATGATGCTACTTCCTCATGCAGCTTCTCGACCAGTAGAGTGGTGTTGGGCTGGATCACTAGCTCATGCTCTCTCAGCGCAGCGTCCGAGAACCCTTGGCAAGCAAACGGCGGTAAAAGCGATGAAGCTCGCCATCAACCGTCACGATTGAAAAGGCTCAGTGGGGCTGTTATAGAGGTGTTTATTTTTATCCCTTTCAGCTTCCCAGGGCACGCACCGTAGATGTCATCCATGCACGACTCGAGGTGAAGTGGAGCAATCCATAATACCGGTCTGTACATCTCATGTGACCGCGAAAGGTCCGAAACGACGTCTCCGGTGCATAGATGGTACGAGTGACACAGACGCGTCACTGCTGCCAGTTTTAGCCCGGGATACTTTGCGAGTGGATGCAAATTGATACTGGCTACCCAGCATGACCCTCATGAACAAAACTAATGGTCCTGACTTTGCTAAGTGAGAAACTGTCCGCATCTAAACTATTATTTTGTAGATTGCTTGGCGAACGATTTCGCTAGCGAATTGGATCATTTGGGCAGCAGCTGCGAACAGTAAGACGCGGAGCCAGTAAGTAAAGGTAATGCTGGGAGAAGATTGAGAGCAAGCTTCTTGAGTGTTGGAGAGTTTGCCCCCCCAAGTTGCACAGGAAGGGAAAGTCACGCAAGCCAAACATTAGATGTAGTCATGAATCTAATACCTTGCCTGTAGGTCGCCACGCATATGCAGCAGATGTCCATCTTTTGCTCCCATCGCACCTTATCTTGTAGACCATCTGGGATGTCTCATTTATCTCTGCTTTAGTCCAATGGTAACACACTATGTCCTGAATGTTTGCCTTTCACAACGTGCCAGATGTCCACCTCCACGCTCATTCGCAAACCTCTCCACATAATGAAGATCGGACTTCTGGAGATGCTGTAGAGGAGGACAGTGATGCCAGCTACGTCTATTCATTTTCTGTCCTAGGTTCTAGACGCAATCATTCTCCCACTTGACCCAGGGCCCAAGTCTTATCGATCTCAGTCGTTACGTACCTCCAACTCGTCATCAGTTCGGGACACGTTACATCAGCAAGGCTAAGGCGGAAGCAGAGATCGATGCCATCTGCAAAGATGGGTACTGTACGACATGGTTCTGAATTATATGGTTCGTGCAGTGAATCCTGTGAGAGAGGATACCACTAATCAGCTACGAATAGACCACACAGTTGAGGGATGATGTTTCAACTGTGGCAGCGATCACGAGATATCTGGATGCGAAACATACCACACTGCTCAGCCGTCCGTTCTTCGCTCAGATCACCGACGCAGGAGAAGAAACGTGTCGTTTCCGGACCTGATAAATTCTCTTACGCACTTAACCTTGAACATCTCAAGGGCAAAAGGTAGATTACCCTGGCTATGGATATGGGCCAAGAAGCCACGGGTTCTAGTCCCGCCCAATGCGCTACCTCCGTGTATCTTGATCGAGAAGGTTTACAACTTGCATCGACAGACTTTACCTGGATCACGGGGGAACCTTGCTGGTCATGCTGAGTCAATGGAGTTGGATGTGCTGGAAGCGTCTAACGGTGGACTCATGCGTGTAGAGATTTCGCTAGAAGCAATTGCTTCATACGGTTATTTCTAGTAGTGCCTCATAATATCTCGTTATCCAACTTATTTTCTTTGTTTTCTTTGTTACTTGATATTGAACGTTTTTCATTCGCTCGCTAGAGACCGGCCAGTGTCAATGGGCTAAGCAAAGGGGGGAGGGCCAGCGCGAGCAAAAGCGGGGCAAAATAAATAATGTACTACAGCACCTGTTGCGCATGGAGTGCGATCGATTGGGATTTCCACCTGTTTTCCACCTATACACGCAGAGGGGAACGAACCCTAGCTCGCTTCCCAATCTACCACTGCACCAGTATGTCTCCCTGAGAAACGAACTCATCTAAGTATATTCGCCTGACTAATGTGTCATAATACCGACCAGAATCTACGAGAACAACCTCTCCGCCAGATGTTGGCTGGGAACATGGATCACCAGGAGGAGCCGCCGGGAATTTGCAAAACACCCAGTGGGCATGAACAGGGAGGTGGCTCAGCAGAAAAGGCATCCGAACCATCGACCGAGGAGGTAGGCTGGGATGGGCCGACGGATCCTGCACGACCGGTGAACTGGTCGAGTAAAAAAAAATGGTGGAATATGTGCGTTATCTCATATCTCACCTTTCTCACCCCCTTGACCTCGTCCATTGTCGCACCGGCACAGGGGCTTGTGATGAAAGACTTCCATTCAGTCAACAGGACTCTGGCCTCCTTCGTTGTCTCCATTTACCTCGTCGGCTTCGCAGTCGGACCTCTTTTCCTCGCCCCGCTCTCGGAAATTTATGGCCGACTGCGCGTCTACCAGGTCGGCACCTTAATCTTCACGATCTGGAATATCGCAGGTGCTCTCGCCCCTAACGTCAGTGCGCTTCTGGTCTTCCGTCTATTCGCCGGGATTTCTGGCAGCGGTCCGGTCACACTGGGTGCAGGCTCCGTCGCGGATATGTTTGCTCTACAGGAGCGTGGAGTCGCCATGTCCATCTATGGGTTGGGCCCGCTCCTTGGCCCTGTCATCGGGCCGATCGCCGGTGGCTACCTTTCCCAGGCACAAGGTTGGCGATGGGTTTTCTGGCTGCTTGCCATTGTTGTTAGTGGCGACTTCAATCCTTCTACTCTTCGTCGAAACTCACTAGTTTATCGATACAGTCTGGGATCGCAGTCATTCTCGTTGTTCTTGTTTTATCCGAATCTTACGAACCGGTTCTCCTGCGGAAAAAAGCGAGTCAAATTAGACAAGAGAACAGATCTGTGGACGTGAACGCTGGGCAAGCCTTGAAGCTAAACTCTAGGGAGGTTTTCATCCAGGCAATAACCAGACCAACGAAATTACTATTCCTCACTCCAAATGTCGCCTTGTTCTCGCTATACACAGGTAAGTAGCTCTAAATCTCAACTCAGGTACAGGTCTAAACAGCCGCATGCCCCTAGGAGTGGTTTTCGGCTACCTCTACCTGCTCTTTACAACGGTCACCGAAGTATACGAAACCACCTACCATTTCAGTCAAGGCGCCACCGGACTTGTGTTCATCGGCATTGGCGTCGGAGCCCTCATTGGCATTTCTTGCTTCGGTGCCCTGTCCGACAAGATCCAAAACCTCCTCATCGCAAGAAACAACGGCCAAGCGGAGCCGGAATTCCGACTTCCGCCGCTCATCCCAGGAAGTTTCCTTATCCCCGTCGGTCTCTTCTGGTACGGATGGTCCGCCCAGATGCATCTCCATTGGATAAAGCCTGTCATTGGACTGGGCTGGGTTGGGTGCGGGATGATCGTCACCCTCCTCCCCATTCAAGCGTACCTCGTTGACGCGTTTGGCGAGTACGCTGCCTCAGCAATAGCGGCGAACACAGTCGTTCGGTCCATTGTCGGAGCCTTCTTGCCGCTTGCCGGGCCTTCGATGTATGCTAAGCTAGGGCTGGGATGGGGGAACTCATTGCTTGGGTTTGTCGCCTTGGGTTTGTTACCGGTGCCGGTGGTATTCTACTTCTACGGCAAGAGAATCCGCATGAACTCACGGTATCAGGTGTCTCCGAGGTAATTGCCTTGTAATCATTTAATGCATTGCCACGGTTTATTTCACTTGCGGGAGAACCCTTGTCGAACAGTTGTTTTAGGGTAGATATCCATCCCAGCGCTTATACCACTTCTACTTCCACATATATTCAATGCTTGGTAACCAGAATAAAACTCTACGTAGAGTCTTCTTCTTGGGTGCAAATATTCCAGATATTTGAGATGCGAGCGTCTGGTGATACGTCGGCCTTATGTTTTGGGGCTTTATCGTACCCCGAAATGCCTAAAGGAGATGGTTTCAAACTCCACCGCGCAAGGCTCCGTGTCTTGGGACCTGCACATAAATGTTGTGAATCGAAGTTCGATCAAGCAGACAATAGAGCTTCGGATACGGAATTTATTCCGTATGGAATTAAATTGATTTCCAATCAATCTGATATTCAATCTGATACTCAACCTGTATATAAGCCTTCTGTTTTCAGATGAGAATAAGGACAATCAATCTTCTAAGAGTACATGGCACATGAATATCTGTATGCCTGCCGTAAGGCTGCCCTACGGATCCTATATTATAAATTAACTTAAAGTCTAGGAGGAAGAGAATCTCAACAGGTTATCTAGTATAGATTCCTAGTAGTATAAATCCAGTAGTATAAATCTAGTTAATTTCTATGGTGTTGTGATGGTTGAGTTGGTTATAAGAGGTTATTAGACTATAAGGAGGTGTTAAAGCCTTAGCTATATCTATCTTAAATTTCAGGCTCTATATATACTTCATAATAGGCTCTGGCAAGGCGTTAGGCCACACAGAATGTGTGGCTAAAGACCTTGTCAAGCTATATACGAGGATGTTAACATATATATTTTGGTACAGAAGCGTACTAGGGCGGTTGCGCCTACCAACCCTCTTTGTTACATCCATCAAACTTGGTTCCACGTGCGCCAATTGCACTTGATCCAAGAGTGAGACAAACCTTGGAGCGTTATGGGCAGGGAGGAAAGCAGCGTTTCAAAACCCTTACTGACGCCCATCGCGATACCAAGGCCAGAAGGGCGGGGGCTCTCCAAAACTCGGGCGCTAAGTCGTTTGGAATTCGAGAAGAATACGGCTTCGAACATACCTCCTGCATCAGATCGACCCCAAGATTTAGTGAGCATTGCACGCAGATATCAGTTTACCGTTGGACACCAAGGCGACAATTCTTCTGCTGGTAGGAATGTTAGCAATATACGGCTCCATCAACCATGCAAGTATGCACTACTTCCTGGTCTAGCGTAGCCCAGACTTCATATTAGACGGCCAGTTATTTTTCTGCCCGAGTACAACAATATTCAGGTCGTAAGTCTGGCATCGACGACCACGTTCCACCGTGGTACTATGTAGCCTCTTTAAGACGTTAGTTATAGGACAGCGTGGTGGCTCCCTATGCTCTGCTGGCTTGGTGGATAATATACATTATTGAGCTAGCCTACAATTCTGACAATGCGCCGATCGAATGCCTAGGTAGATCGACTATTTGTTGCAATAACCGGACGCAGAGAGTGTAAACCGAGCGGAGCGACGCGTGATCATCTAGAAGGCTGATACGGGCGAATATCGCGCAAAACCTGGGGTATGAACTGACATGATCGGAGTAATAAACTCCACATTTTGCTCTAGGCATTATCAGGACACCAAATTCCAGCCTACCTTATGTTCGTGTGAGGTAGATGAGATTAAAAAGGGTATTCATACGAGGATGATTGAAACATTTTTTCACCAGGCTTTTAGTGGTAGGTATTTGGTCAGGATACTATTATCATACGCACAAGAATCCGAACCTTAATTCTGGGACCATAATCGATTGAGGAGACTTCAGGGCTGCCGACAAATCTGCTGTATTTCAGGTGCCTAGAAAGCATCGGACCGGGCGGTGTAACTGGGCTGTGGAACAGACGCAACTGCACCGTAACCACTTTGATACACACCTGTAGCACTGAGAGAAAGGGTGGCCAACCTTCCGCCATTTGGAGAAACATTCCAGTGGACCGGTGCAATTGTGTTAGAGCCCTGGTGGTTTATAATGCCTTCCGGGATAGGGAAAAGTGTCTGTGGACCGATGCTTTGTTCTGTCCGCTGTTGTTAGAGACTGGTACATGAATTCAAGATAAGGTCTCTCACCGTAACGCCCAAACATATACCCATTGATATAAAGATGAGCGCGTAGACCAGTGGTTCCTTGCAGCGAGACTGCAAGCGGAATATCGTAGCTAGTAGGTAGGTTGAGATCAAAAGAAGTCCTGAATGGCAACAGAGGTTAAATCCAAAGCTGCCGTAAGTTCAGAAGAACAACTTACGTGAAGATTTCCACCCCGGGTGTCGCAACCCCTTGTAATGGAGATTTGGTGGCCCAACTTTGACTTGGTGGATTCGGTTGGTGCCAGCCTATCTCAACGTTAGTTTATGTGAGGCTGTCGAGTCGAGGAGTGTTGGCGCACCCATTCTCTCCGCATAAAACCCTCCCTCATTAAGTGGGCCTCGAATCAGATCAGCATACTATGTGATTGGGTTAAAAAAGTCTCCTAGTCTAGCGGATGAGGAGAGATTACATTTTCACCACCTAGGTTTCTGGTGATTTTCCACTCGATGGTTGCGTTGCTGCGTTCGAGATTGTAGTTCAAAATTCCGCGCGGAAACTATCATATGTGTTGTTAGCACTTCTCCTTTGCTAAAGCTTAGGAAACACATTAACGGACTGTGATGCCACCAGATTCATTCTCGTTGTATCCCATGTTTTCCTACAGCACGCATGTCAGCATTCGTGGGTTGTTTTTGGAGCAGAATCGTCTTACGGAGAGAACAGTGAGGACATAATGTAGGCCTTTACTCAACGTATGTGGGAACTTCAGTGTGAACTGTGCCGAATTTGATGAGGCGCTTCCACCTGATGCTCCCAAGAAAGTATCATTGAGCCAGACAGAATAGCCAAACTCGTAACCACCACTCAACTGAAAAGAAATTCCTGACTCGGTTCCATTGGAAACAAAATGACCTCGGAAAAGATGAGCTCCAACGTGATACTAGATTTGTTAGCATGTCAGATCATAGAACAGAAGCTGGATCACCTACGCCGTAATCTCCGGTATATAGACTGACATGAGTAGTCAACTCCCGGGCCCTATTTGCAGAGGTAGTGTGGTTGGCAACAGTCCACTTGGAGTCGTCAGGAATTCTCTATCTCGACTATGCTGTCATGCGATTTCTAAGTAACGTTAGCAAGATACTTTCGGCCTCCCTCAGTCCATGTTTTCTTACCCATGTCAACTGGGACAGGTTAGGCAGAGAAATAGTGGGGTTGGTGAAGCTGAGTGTACCACTCAAACTGCCGTGGGATGTTCTTGACGTCTGGATCGAATTGCCATTCCATTCAACCTGGTCGATGGCTTGTGGAGCGATAATTTCTACCTCTGTAGAAGAGTTCAAATCACCTCTGAGGCTCAACGTGCTGCCATTTATCACGGCACTGCGCACAAGGTATGGCCCTCTGACGAAGGTAACATCATTGCTGCTGGATACTTCCGGTGCCCAGGTGGTATAAGCCGTATTCCGATCTGAAGATCTGGTCAGCTCTGTCGGAGAATCTGGAACACATTCCACGATCTTACCTAAAATGTACAACATGACATCGGCGCCAATTGCTACAACGGAGACCCCGGAGGTATTATAGTTCACGACCACAGTACCTGATTTGGTTTGGCAGTCATTGGTTGATCCGGCTATCGTTACACACGTGTCGTTGCCAGAGGAGATGAAGGCCGTCTCGTGCGTTTCTACAGTAGCCCCATAAACCAGGACTACGTATTTGGAGTCGAGCTTTTGCCTGTGGAATTATAATCGTAAGTATTGGTTGCTGCAGGGTAAATCTTGCGCATTAACCCACCAGGACAGGATCTCTGCTGTAGAATACAGAATTGTGCGCGTTCCAATCGCATAATCACTGACGTGGATCTGTCTCCGTTCTCTATTAGTACTGTTCCCATGTATATGGTGTCAATCCTACCCGGGAATCGTATCCATCAAGTTTCAGCGTGCCCCCAAGCTGAGGAATGGTAAAATTTCCTAGACTGGTTGGGATATGCAGAGAGAAATTAACGGAAGCGGTGTTTCGGGGAACCGCGTGCCTGAGACATGTTAGCATGAGGCGCACAAGCTTGAATGGATTGAGTCCAACCTTGACGTCCAGAAAGTAGTGTTGCCCTTGTCATCCTTGGTTTGAGTCACAACGACATCCGAGCTGGTCGTGAATATTGAAGTTGCATGAGTAGTAAGCCTTGAGGTGAGAAAGGCAGGAGACACTTTGAGGAATTGAGACTGAAGCTTGATATCGCTGTACTTCTCTCTGGTGATGGACCGATCTTCTGCAATGGCTGCACGGTAGTCATAGCTGGTGTAAACCCCGCCCCATCCAATATGGCCCCAGTTGGTCCCACCATAGATCTAAGATATCCCTAGTTTTGATACGGAATTGGGATAGCGTTGATTCGCACCATGTACAGATTGAGCGACATCACCGACATCGCATGGAGGTCCTTGTAGAATAAGCGGGTCACGCCAGCATCGTACATCACTGGGCAGTCTGAGTAGCCTGGTCCGTCAGGTGCATCATAAAAACCGTCCATATACTAAAATAATGTCAACATGTTGTACGGTCCGGCTTCTAAAAAAGCTTCACACCTCAGCTATCATGTGCGGTGTGTTGTTGCTATACTGCAGATATAGCGACCAGTCATTTTGATTCATCCAACTGGGAATGCTGGTACAAGCTGCCATGCGATATTTAGATTTGATAGAGATATTAGAGATGTAAAGGACTCACATAGAGGATAGTTATCGTATGCGTTTACATCGGGAGGGGCAACGTGTGCCCATTTACCACCGTGTGACACGTCATTGTGGAATGTAGGCACCACCATACCGGTTTCTGCAAATTTACTTTTCAGATAGTCCATATATCCTGTCGGGGGAAAGGGGGCTCCGCCGACTACAGGACTGGATAGCTCGTTTTCCAACTGCAGCATGATGATTGGGCCCCCTTCAGTGATCTGATGTGGGGCAAGCATCTTTCCAACTGTCTGAACGTAAAGCTCTATCTCGTTGTAGTAACTTCCGTTACTGACTCTCCAGTATAATCCTTCTGGAGCATGCATCCGCCAACCGGGAAGCCCTCCAGCGCTCGCCTCTAAAAATGGTGAGAGCTAGTTCAGTCATATAAGCGAAAGTGGATACTCTAGTCTCTCTTACCTGCATTGATGTACCTAAGGATCCAAAACGGGCCAGTAAGTATGATTTTCGTCTTTGGGTTCATGTCCGTGTGGGATGATAACGTACGGCCCAGGTCTCACAATAACGTAGATGCCAGCAGTTCGGGCAGCGTTGAAGAATTCATCGTAAGCAAAAGTCCCATCCATGCGTACCGTGCCCTTGGTTGCCTCCAGCAAGCTGCAGTTGATGTACGTTGAGATGGCATTGAAACCAAGGCTTTGACCTTTTGGAATATATCGAGCCACAGCGGGATTGGGAAGTCTGTATTCTCCGTCAGATGGTTCAGCCTTGGTGCATCTTCAAAGGGTCAATCTACCTCCAGGCATGAAACTGATTCCGGACTCGTCTTTTAGTCAAGGGGTCATTATCAATAGAATTGAAATAAGCGTACTTCACCACTGTGCACCAACACCCGTTCACCATGAATCATCCAGGAATACTTATCCCACGTAACAGCCGCCTCTGTGGCAGCCCTCCTTGCATAGGGAGCATTACTGGTTCTTGCGACCAGCTTGTCGGTTTCCCCAGAACGTAGTTGCTGATGTAGACACCAGCAGAGCCGACAAAGAGAGAATTGAGAACAGCAATTGCATGATCGAAGGTTCGGATCAATTTCACAGCTATTCAGATGGTTATTCTATTTCGCGCCTGATGACCAGGCGCTCTACTCTATATAACTAACTACCTGGCACGTGAATCATTAACCGTTCTAGCTGCTGATCACCGATTCCCAAACCGTTTCAAAACCTAGTACCAACTCAATTTTCCATCATCTTGGAAAATATCCGTAGCACAAATATCCGGCGCAAACTACCCCTGCGGAGAGAAGAACGAAACTCGCTCTATACAGAAAAGACCTTTGCTGCAGGCGGTAAAACGCGGAGTTTCTGTGTACCCCACAATTCAAATAGAATCCTCCGTATAGGGAAATACCCTTTTAGATACAAATAGAGCAAGCTAAATCAGCACAGCATAGGATGCGCTCTATGGGTCTGCTCTACCAAGGGGAACCAATTGCATTTGTGAACAGTTGGTTGATTCCAGAAAGGTGCAAAGAGCGTGGTAAAGGGCGGGCATGTTAAATACCTATCTGTCCCTTCCGTAAACGGATGAAGGAGCAGGATTATGTTAAGGCACTCGGAGTAAAGGTGTCCAAGTTGCTTGACGAGCCAGAATTTACATACAAAGGCATAGAAAACGCGGGGTAAGGGAGCAACCAATGGGAGAGACTGTAAGTACCTCTCCACTTTCACGGACAGATTACCTACTATCACATGAGTAGCCAGTCGCCTTGGGTTGAGGTGTTGAGTGTCGTTGTCACGAGAAAGGGTTCTGCCTTTTTTTAGGGCAATAGCTTCATGACAAGAAACCGTGTGCAGCGTTGATGAGCGTAATATGGGGTTAGACACTGGCTACAGATGACCTCCCTTGACTAAGCGCTAGTACTAATTCCCACTTAACTAGACTTTAGGCTAAGGTCAGATAGCGTCCAAGAAGACCCCAGTGTGCTATAACCAGGGCGCTGCGTCCCCATCCGTGCAATTTCTAGACACTGCTAATTGGGAAGGGGACAGTCCAATTGGAGAATTTTCCGGGAAAATTTGGTAAATAGCCAATTAGCCAATTTGTCAGAATGGCTCAATTCTCGTGGAAAAAAGCATACAGAGAGCCCCAGCTGAAGATAGGATGGCCTCTCAATTTGTAGTATACAGCGTGTTTGGTTGGACATTTCTCTAGTCACTTGCTTCAGACTTTTTAACTGCCACTGTCGTCAAAATAACGTGATAATCGCTCCCACATGATATTCGAAATTCATAGTTTCACCTTTGGAATTCTTGACGTAGGACGAGAATGAACATAGCTTGGTGCGTGGAAGCTTTTTACTGTGGGTTCTACCAGCTCCCCTCTCAGAACACCATAATATTTCCACATGCTTTAGCCTTCCAGCGGGTCGCCCACTGCATCGCTAAGCTGTCCAATGCTTCTGGCTCAGCTACCGCATCAATGATGCCATCTTTTAAAGCCTCTAGGCCAGCGTATCAGTGTGCCTCTAGAAGGGTAAGCCACGAGTACAGTCGTATTTTGCGCTGCCGAGCCCAAGCATCCTCAATATTCTCTACTTATGTCCCAGTGGAGATACCTGATGGAGCGATGAGCCGGGGCTACGACGCATTCAAGCTTTTCCCAATTCATGATCCAATATTCCGGATCCCATTAGGAAGTTAGAATTCGATTACTACATGAAGTAGTAGCTTCCTATTCCTCATCCCATCCCCATTCCACCCCGGTTCGGATACGTATCCCGCTTCTCGCCAATAATGGGAGATGCCACCTCGCATGCCACATTAGTGATCGGCATCTTGTTTGTCTAAGCTACGGACAGTGATGTCGCGACAATTTATCCAAAGTTCCGGATATGTTAGGATTTTCCCCTGATGATACGACAATTTGACACTATATAGGACGGGTTTGCTGGTCAGAGATTCTCAATTTCAAGCCATCTGTTTGATTCATCATCTCAGAAAATCCATAATGTTAAGTTCATAGTTTCTGGCCACACTGACCTTCCTGCCCTCGGCGAATGCGCTCGTGAGAAAGGATGGCGTGGTAGGCAGTGTCTTACTCAATCATGACACCCGACAATCAACTAATGCGTGAAACAGGGAAGATTACCGGCATTGGGCTGGAATAGCTGGGATGCTTTCGGTTACGATGTGGATTCAACAAAGATCATGACTGCCGCCAACGAGATTGTGAATCTCGGCATGAAGGACCTTGGATATGAATATGTTAACAGTGAGGTCCCACATGTTGCAAGGAGACAAGCTGTTTCTAAGTTTCTGTGTGTGTATAGTTGATGACTGTTAGTCCCTCAATAATACGCGCAACTCAACTACAGAGCGTATCATCCCTGATGCCAAAAAGTTTCCTGGCGGGATTTCTGGGCTGGCTGATCAGGTTCATCGGTTGGGGTTGAAGATTGGTATTTAGCAGTGAGTGGGTCTGGCTATGCTGTAATGAGTTGGTTTGATGACGTTTCTCAAGGTGCTGGCGAGACTACTTGTGCTGGATACCCTGCTAGTTTAGGGTATGAGCAGGTTGATGCAGCAGCTTTCGCGGAATGGAGAATTGATTGTGAGTGTTTTGTTCTCTGGGACGATGGAACCCTACTTATGGAGCGATAGACCTGAAGTATGACAATTTTGGCGTCCCACGTAACTGGACAGACCAATATGCCGTGTGTGACGACGGCTCTGGCGACTCTGTGAATGCACTTGTCCTGGCGTTTCGAACCCAGCGCCCGCTGGGTACGATTGGACTTAAGTCTGATACCTTCACTCTGTATACGAGGATGCGCGATGCTTTGAAGTAAAGTCGTACTATTCTATATTCGCTTTGTGGCTGGGGCTAAGCCGACATGAATACTTGGGGCAATGAGACTGGGAACTCGGGGCGCATGTCGGGGGATATACAGGGGGAGTACTTACCAATTTAAACGGTAGAGACAAGTAAAGAAGCTGATTCGAGACGAATAGCGAATTGGTCTCGTATCGCTCAAATTGCCAATCAGAATAGCTTAAAGATGAATTATGTTGGGTTCTGGGGCCATCCCGACCCTGACATGCTTGAAATTGGAATGGGCACCTTACACCTGAGGAGAACCGAGCGCACTTTGCCTTTGGGCGATCATGAAGTCTCCCCTGATTATTGGTACTGCTGTATGCGCAAACCAAGAGATCCTGCAAAAAACTTGTGCTGAGAATTCATTTAGCTCGACAGCATCACTGACACGAATCTGGCTATATTGAAGAAGAAGTACCTAGTCGAATTCAACCAAAACCCCATCATCGGCCACTCCGCCCACCCAATACAATCCTGATTGGACCTTTGACCCTGCTCACCCCGCTGGTCCGGTCCTTCCTCGACAGTGAAGGGAGCGTGCACGTAGGCGCTCCAAAACAGACGCTAAGCTTATTAACCCATATGAGATCTGGGATACCCTCGCACTTGGAACCAGACGGAGCACAGTTGGAACCACACGGAACTGGGAGCAAGGTAACTTAAATGTTGTTTTTTTTTTTTTTTTTTCATTCTTGACATTGTCAAGCTTGCCAAATTGATAGATGATGATTTGAGTTCAATGGTTGATGAAATGTAGCTTCACAGTTACACGCAATTTTGAAAACGGGAGCTAATAAAACCTGTCAGTTGAAGTCATTGACATCATGAATTCGGTACAGCAGGAATGGATGCAATATAGGCGTAATGACTTATCCCCAGAACATCATGAGGTCTGGCATACCACAACAGAAATTTTCCCCATCAACTTCCCTCTTTAATATCTCAACAACCACCAGTCCAAATCAAATCAAAATTAATATTTAGAATTTTCATGGCTTCAAATACTTCGCAGAGTTCGAAAACTTCTTCCACAGGACAGAATGGTCGAGTGGCGGACCGGCAGGTGCCCATGAAGGTGCTGGCTCTTGGATATGGTCGCACAGGCACAAGATGTTAGTGTTCAAAAGCGTTTAAAATACACATGTTCTGGGGAGGATCTACTGACAAACTGACATCAATCAACTAGCCCTGAGAGACGCGCTCTTGACCCTTGGCTATCACCACACATATCACACCTTTGATGCGGTATATGTGAACCCGCGAGAGTGCAAGATATGGTTGAAAGGATTGCACGCCAAATGCGACGGTGTAGGCAAGAAATTTGGCCGTGAGGAATTTGACCAGCTTCTTGGTCATTGTCAAGTGAATCCCTCTTATTCTTGCTCTATGGTATATTGCGTTGACGATATGTTAAGGCTGTTGCGGATATGCCAGCAGCATATTTCGCTCCCGAGCTCATCCAAGCCTATCCTGATGCCAAAGTGATCTTGACCATCAGGGACATCGACGAATGGCATGAGTAAGAGAGCTAAGTTCAATTAAAAGTGGGATATTTTATTTTTATGACCATCTCTGACTTCTTATTCACTGTCCAGGTCCGTTAAAAACACGCTTCAAATAGCAGATAGCAGTCTAATATCTGGAATATTGGGTTTCACCGCCAAAATTTTGTTCATGCCTAATCGGTGGAATTATCCCATGTTCCAAAAATTGAACAAGGTGCTCTATGACGGTGATTTTAAGAAAAATGGTAGAAAGAGTTTTGAACAGCATTATGACCATGTCAGATCTTTAGTGCCGCCTGAGAATCTGCTTGAGTATCACATGAAAGACGGGTGGGAACCATTATGCAGGTTTTTGGGCAAACCGATCCCTGCAGAACCGGTTCCGTATATTAACCAGCGTGAGGGTTTTAACAAGAAATTCCGAGATTGGAATGTGGCAAGCATTCAGGCCCAATTGAAACGGGTGCTTGATATTTCTGCGTATGCTGCGTTGATGGCATGGGTGGGAGCTGCGCTGTTGACAAGATTGTCATGATTGACCAGAGAATCATCAGGGGAGCATACGGCAACCTACACTTTCACTTCGGTCACATCGCGAAATTACAGTGTACTGGCATAATGCCACAACACAATAGATATTTAAATATTATTACAATTAATATTAGTTCATAATCTCTAATTGTTGGTAGAAGTGTGTTACATCGCGCATCTAGTGCGTGTATTTCACTGTACACGCACTACACGCACTACATTTCAGTAGTGTGGTGTGGTGTGGGGGTTGAGAATGTTTCAGTGTGTATGGTGGCAGTAATATTCTATGGGTGCGCTCTTAATCAAGATAAAAGTCACGGTGCGGGGGGTAACATAAATTACGTGCATATCCTAGTTTCAAGTATGAGACACAGCAGTCTAGAGAGAGTGTGTAGTTGGGATGGTCGTTTTATCCAATTGATATTCTTTATCGACTCGCGAGTGGTGTGTAGTACAGCATGGAAATAATCTGGATCCACTTATGTGATAACCAAATACATAATTCTCCACGAGGCGCAGTGATAGCCACTATAAAGATTAGTTCATAATGGAACTTCGCATGGAATCAATGAATCAATTCCATCAAGAAATGATGAAGGTAAGCTGTGTCCACACATCGCAGCAGTCGTCCAGACTGGTATTAGCTCCGCGGGCCACAAAAATTTAGTTATTGAGAAATGGACCAGTGCTGTTTAACTACGTTTGAAGTAGGGGCTACAGTTTGCCACATACAGGGAATATCTCGCAGTAGTGCTGACTTGCAAAGTTGACTGTTCAGGTCGTTCTCAAAATCACGATAAATCAGGAAGACAGAAACGAAAACTTCATTTATTACTGTACAGAGTAAGCATGTTAGTGTGTTCCTATCGGTTTTATTCTCAGCTCCCATATGCACCTCCGTACATAGTCCAGCGCGCTGTCAGCCTCATGGTAGAGAGCCTTCAGAGCCCGTGGACCCAGAAGACTGTCCGTAATCGACGGACCTTCTACCTTTATTACTGAGAGGCAACCCACGAAGCACTGGCATATGCAGGACCTAGCGCCGCTGCCACCGAAGTTATAAACTAAAGCGAAGTGTTTTGTTGATCCTGGCCCTCTTCTCCGGATATATGATATGATACTGCATCCTGCACGCGCCCTACCAACACCGCCCGAGTGTTCTCACGGATCCTGCTTCATCTCAGTTCGACGGGATGCCGGATATGTGACTGGAAGACTTCACGACCCTTACGACCTTCTAGAACCGAGGACCGGGACCAATTGTTTCATGAACTCGGGAAACGGCTCCCCCCGAGGGGTGTTGGGGATCCGCCGTCCTTTGTCGAATCTCCCCACTGGTCCGCCCAAAGTATCCAAAACCTGGACAAGTTCTACGACTATGACATCCGGGCGCCTGGTATACAGCCGAGCTTATACGGCGAGCCCCACCACAGAAATTGCGTACGGCCAGACTCCGCGAACATGAGCGGCAACAGCACAACGGCACTGACAAAGGGTTAACAACCCCGAGGCTGGACAGCGACTGGAGGATGCCGCTGATCAAAGTAGGGAGCATCTCGTGCCAGCTGGCCCAGCTGAGGATGCAAGCATGCGACTATCATCTCAGCCGGCCGGGGCCTGCACGTTCGAAGGCATTACGCCAAACCTCGACTTCCTCGACGTCCCCTTTTGCGACGGCGCCTCGGACGCCTCGCTGCCGACAAAGCTGCTGGGAAGGGCAGTGATAACCACAATGACGTTCGTTCTGATGCTGCAGACGATGGCGCGACGCTGGTAGACTGGACTATGACGTGACCCAATCTAGTTACGCTATCCACACCTCAGTTAGATCTTAGCTTCTCCATCTCTCTCATACATTGCTTTCGACCTCACTTCCTTCGATCCTAGCGCAGACCTCATATACATTGGTTAATGCCTTGCTTTCTTGTGGACCAGGTTGTGGTGACTTGCTTTGTTTCGCCACTTCTTTGCGGACTGTCTCTCTTCCGGTGCAGCTGCTTCGGTCTTCCTAGTCGCAATTCATCCATTTAAATCTGTTTCCCAGAGCGCGCTTAACCTTTAATCTATCTGGCGGTGAACAATGTTGCTTTCATTGAATCCCAGGGACTTAATAACCATCGCCTGAGGGTTTACTGTGGAGCCAAACCGTGTGACGAGCGCAGGGTAGATATATACATTGCCATTGAAATTAGACCATGGCCTTCATAATCTCTGACAGTGAAGCAGCCTCTGATCATAGGGCAGCATATAGTTAGGCTAGAAGCGCGTTGCTAAACGCTGAGTCGTGCTATTGGCTTTGGCCAGGCGGGCGTCCGTGTCAGAGCATAAGTCGTGACAGTTATCCCTTCCACGCGATGACGCTCTCCTTCGTTGCACCGAGAGGTCCTTCCAGTTGGGCCGTAAATGCTAGAACAGCTCAGCCTTGGCTGACGTGATGGATTGCAAAGACAATCCCGAGCGATCAAGATCTCTTATTTTACTTTGTTGTACCTGTGCTATCAATTGAGCGCGGAGAGTCAATTACAGAGGGATTGCTCGACCTTTGCGTACACGATTATAGTACGTGTGACAAACCAGTGGACTATAAAATTTGGGTTTATTGTAGACGCTGGCGTGGACAACCTTTCGGGGCTTAGCAGGGATAGTTAATGCCCTGCCTCAGATGTTTGTCCAGCCAAAATGCTTCGTCGTCGCAACCGTAGCTTTCGACTGCAATTCCAGTCATTCATCCCCAAACAGCCCAGAGAGAAAGACTTCCCGGCTTCAAGAACATGCCTCGCAAGGCCTTGCGGTGGAAAATACGGGAAGACTAGGCCACTGGCGGTGAATTGCACCATGTTACGGAGGGTCTCGTAATTATCTTCCCATTCAAGTCGCTCCGTTTGCATGCCTCTGCCATGAGCAATCTGAGGCAGATTCTCATCTGACTGGTTGAGTACCGTGTTCAAGTCTAGAAAGCCACTGGAGATCAATATGTGGAGTAGGGAATATGGGAGTGCATCAATCGACTACACGGACTGGAACTGAGGACGGACCTAGCTGGGAAACTGAGAATATCCCGGACCTCAGTCGAAAGTACGTACTACCCGCAGCCATCCTCGTCAAGCGAATCCCAAAAATGGCGGGCTGACTCTGATGGACAGAAAGATCGAGGGAATCCAGCCACGTTGGTTTTGAATAATTGAATGCCAAACCCGCCAATTTCCCACCACCCCGCACTGCGCGTCAGGTTACAGTCCAATCTGCGAAGCCCAACTCCGCCCGCGAGTTGCATTTAGCAGTCCAAAGCCGCTCCTTGCATGCGCACCTGCTTTGTAACGACGTCAGCGTCTTGAAAATGCCGTTGGATATCTAGCGTCACATGATCGTGGGGGCCTATATAGCAAAGCAGGTGCGGTACATTTGGTCCGCCAATCTCTCAGTGTTTCTGCGAAAATGACTGGACCGAAAAGCATTGTCTGGCAGACTGGCACTCTGACTGTCCGGCTAGTCGTTGGACGCGACGAAATTGTTCGCGTTGTGAGTATTCTGCCTCATGATACACGGATAGCGGAGCAGGATTCCTTGTCCTCCAAGCAGGGCACTGTTCCTCTGTTCGGTGTCAGACTGAATGGCGAGGGGAATCCATCGCACAAGTCTTCCAAGACGCTCATTGGCAGTTATGTCTCGAGCAGGCTGAAGTACCAAAGCCACCACGAGCACAGTAACGGCCAGTCAATGTCTCTCGATGTCATTGCGTACGACGAGGTATCACAGATATCCGTTACCGCTCGCCTGTCGGTATATCCGGGCATTCCTGTGCTCCGTTCGACAGCTACCATTTGCAACAAGTCCCAGGAAGATATTGTGGTAGATCAACTGTCGTCGCTTATTGTCGGTGCTTTGGGTAAAAAGCCGATTAGCTGTTGGCTGGACTACACCTTGTCCACTCCGACCAACTCTTGGTTCAGAGAAGCGCAGTGGCGGGACGAGTCTCTTCCCAGTGTCGGGTTGGATGATATCGGACTGTCCGAGCTGCCCGCCCATCACGAGGCGTCAATGGCACACCATGCCATTTCAAATCGTGGAACCTTCTCATCAGGAACCCACCTGCCAGTTGGATTGCTGAAGAAGAATGATTCAAGCGAGACCTGGCTGTGGCAGATTGAGACCAACGGGTCATGGCGCTGGGAGCTTGGAGATTTCCAGGAGAACGTTTATTTGGCATTAGGCGGCCCGACAAACAAGGATCATGGCTGGAAGCATCGCCTGCCTCCTGGTCAATCGTTCACCAGCATACCGGTCGCGCTATGCCACGTTTCGGCCCCGCCAGACAATGCCTTCGCCGCCTTGACTGAGTACCGCCGACGCATCCGGAGGCCTCACAAGGACAACGAGGACCTCGGTGTGATTTTCAACGATTACATGAATTGTCTAATGGGCGACCCCACTGAAGAGAAAATCATCGCCCTCGTCGATCCTGCTGTGAAGCTGGGTGCACAGTTCTTTGTCATTGACTGCGGCTGGTATGCGGACGACAGCGGCTGGTGGGACGACGTGGGTGTTTGGGAACCATCGACTAAACGATTTCCGAAGGGTCTGGAATCCCTACTTGATCATATTCGAAACAAAGGGCTCACGCCCGGACTGTGGATTGAGCCGGAGGTGGTTGGCGTTCGCAGCGTGGTCGCGGATATGTTGCCGGCGGACGCTTTCTTCCAAGAGAATGGCCGACGTATTGTGGAGAAGGGCAGGTATCAACTGGATTATCGACACCCTGACGTAATTCAACGAATGGACAAAGTGATCGACAATCTCGTCCTTGAATACCGGGTCGGATATTTCAAATTCGATTACAACATCGAAGTAGTCCAGGGCACAGATATAAACGCTTTCAGCCCCGCTGATGGACAGCTCGGGCATAACCGGGCCTACCTCGAATGGGTTGGCAAACTGTACGACCGCTTCCCGGACCTGGTCATTGAGAGCTGTTCTAGTGGAGGTCAACGCATGGACTACGCCCTCCTAGCCGTCCACTCACTGCAGTCGACCAGCGACCAGCAAGATCCACTGCGATATGCTGCCATTGCAGCTTCCGCACCGACAGCAGTCGCGCCAGAACAGAGCGCCAGCTGGGCATATCCGCAGCCCGATTGGGATGATGAGAAGAATGCGATGACAGTTATTAATAGTCTCCTCGGCCGTGTTCACCTGAGCGGCAGGATTGACTTGCTGAGTTCGCAGCAATTGGATCTCGTCGCGAGCGGTATGCTAGTCTATAAGGAACTGCGTTCTGATCTGACTAGCGGTCTCCCGTTCTGGCCGTTAGGTCTTCCTAAATGGCACGACAGTTGGGTGGCACTGGGTATTACAGCAACTAGTGGAGTCCGCTATCTTGCCGTGTGGCGCCGATCTGGCTCAAGTACTCTCTCTCTACCGATTCCCACACTGAAAGGTCGCGATGTTGAAGTCAAGCTTTTGTATCCGGAAAGGTTTGAGGCACATACGCGCTGGGATTCAGACAAGGGCACTTTCTCGGTTCGTTTGCCATTTGCTGCATGCGCTCGCCTTTTCCGACTCGCGCCGAAGACGGAACTTTGAAAGATATATAGGACGGTTTCATAGTAGCCAGCGTCTGGCATTTCGGCATGGTTATTACGGGGTATCGGCTTCCGTTACCTTTCTAAATACTTCAGAGAAACAAATTCCAAAGATATATTTAGGGCTGGTTGGTAACAGGGGTACAATAGTAGGCGTAATCAAAAACCATGTGAAGATACTCACAACGAGATACTATGTTGCATTACTCATACATGCTGATTCCATACACATCCTATCTCTATAAACCAGCTATCTCTGATGCAGATATTGCTAGTAGTTAGAATGCCTTGCTCAAAAGAGCTTACACTAACGCTCGGGGAGAGTGTGTATAATCTATATGCAATCAAATGGGCTCACTCACCAGTTGGCCATATATATATCTCAACTGTACGATAAGCGGACGCTTGGAAGCAGGATATGCCATATGTGTCTGCTAAGGTCTTCCTATTTTTGTTCAATATCTCCTTCTTTTCTACCTTCTGTCAGATTATGGAACTTCTGTGGGTAAACTTGTATAATTTGAGATCACGCTCCTCCTTTGGCAGTGTTACTCATCAGGCGTTTGCAATGAATTATATAAAGGTACGGCCATTTCATCAGTAACCCAGAATTCTCTGGGTCATTTATCTATCGTCATGTGGAAGAATCCTAGATCTTGTGTTTCCACGGTATGATGCAGCTGCACTAAGTACCAAGACTTCGGGGAAACACCATAAGCTCTAGGCACAGCGATCAGTATGATCTGCCTGTTACGGCTGAGGCACGTCTTGGGATGCCACACGAAGCAAAAGCGTCGTCGGACAAACGATCTCTGCTTTGTGAAGGTTTGGAAGGTTTGCCTTGCGGGGGCATGCTGCCAATTTCTTCCCTCTAGATAGTTTCTTTCCTTGTCTCCTTTCTTGGTTTCGTTACCTTTGATACAGCAAGATTTACCATTTTCGCTCCCGATTATAACACTGCCAGGGTTTAAGTTTCGTACATTGTTCGATAAGCTTGAACAACAGAAACCCAAAGACCCACTAGCTGAGCCACTCTTCTTAGGGAGCCCTAATATTACCACCGCGTATACTATAGTATAGGTATTCCATAACTATGGGCCGCTACTTTGCCGCCTCCACATCACAACCACAATTGCTCATAACTCCATAGTGCGTGCAAGATGCCTCCACATTGTGCAATTCCTGACCTGCCAGTCGGGAACCACTTCCATTGCTGTGTCATTTGTCTGCAGCCGGAGTTGCGAGCCTGACAAATTCGCCCATGTCTCCCATTCTGGCGACCCKGAGAGTTTATAAGTGTTCGGATTCAAGTTTCGCACAAAACTCGTCCAGTACCCCATGACAACGGGCACAATGGGAGCATTAGTAGTGTAGTAAGAGCTTGCAGCCCAGCCCGCCTGTCCTGGACCAAAGACTGCGCTTGTCTCGAAGGTATGGGGAACCCCGTAGCCATCAGCGACAATCCCTGGATCTAGCACATTGTACCGGTAACTCCACACCTCAGCAGCGCTAACAAAGCGGGCTACAGCACTGGCCATCTCGTTGGCAGGGCAGGTAAATGTGGCATCACCATACGCAGCCGAAGCACTGGGGAAGAATGCTGCGTGGCCAGGGAGCGGAGCCATATTCGCGTATTTGTGATTGATCTCTTCTAGCTGAGTCTCTTTGAGGTGTGGGTAGTTGGAGCGAAGGAAAGAAGAGACCTCGGCGGCGCTAGACGCATTGTTGGCAAACCATGAGCCCTCGTTGGCAACGTGGCCCACGAGCATGGGCACATGGGCGAACTGGCCGGTCGCGAAGAGGGTATGGAGTTGGTCGGGGATCAATTTGCCATCAATGACGGGTAGCCAGTAGAAAAGCGGTAGGGGGTCGCCCGGTGTGGTGTCAGGAAATGCAGAGCCGCCGCTTGCTGCCTGGAGAGCAGAAATGTTCATCTTCCGTAGACAGCCGACAGACGAGCAGCCAGTCGATCCCATCAACCGCTGATACTGAAACTCCATCTCCAAGACAGTTCGAAGTGTTGGCCAAAACGGACTCTCAAGGATCGCTCCGACGAAAAAGCGCTCTTTGTCGCGGCCTCTGTAGGCCGTGAGGTGATGGGATACGGAGCCACCTCCAGCTGACGAGCCTTGTATGACAACATGACTTGGATCGCCACCGAACTGAAGTAAAAATCATGGTTAATGTCTGTAGTTCTAGCGGAGATCCGTCAACGCACCTTGCTAATATGCGTCTGAACCCAGAGAAATAGCTGGCGTTGGTCGAGAAGGCCGACGTTAAAGTCTGCATMATGCCCTAAACTGTTACTGGCGAGGAACCCAAGGACGCCAACGCGGTAGTTGAACAAGACTACTATCATGTTGCCACCGGAAGACCGAATGATTTCTGTGCCGTTGTAGTTTGGATTCCCCATTGCTGCGTACCCGCCACCTTGAATATATATCAATACCGGCAGCTTAGACTCTGGAGTAGCGTCTGAGGGTTTGAATACATTGACAAAAAGGCAGTCCTCATCTAGACCATTGCCAGGTTGCTGTCCGGTGCCCGGGCAGAGAGCGCCAAACTGTAATGAAGTAGGTCGGGTTAGTCCAAGCGTCCATATTGCTAGCGACAACATTCTTCGGGACATTTCCAACCTGGGAGGCGTCTTGTTCTTCGTACTTGTACTCTGGCTCCCGTGGCGCTCTAAACCTGAGTTCACCGACAGGGGCCTGTGCATATCGCATCCCCAGGAACTGATCCACACCCCCTGGAAGTCTGACACCACGGTACTTCGAGTATCCAAGGTCAATGATTGGAGAACCTGGCTCACTATCTTCGCTGGAATGTGTCACGGCCAAGGCATTCGCTATGTTAGCGAGATAGATGCCCGCTGCGAGGAGCTTGACTAGTGCCATATTGTGTTTTTGATTAGCGAACCCCAAGGTCACGAAATGAATATCGTACAGTAGATCGTTGCAATCCCAGCACATTAAATTGATTCCAAGTCATCCTCCAGCTTCTCAGCAAATTTATAGGAACAGATACATGAAAAAAAGTTTCAGATCACGCCAAAGATATAGCCTAAATCTGCGGTCCATTCCTTTGCTGTTGGCGTATTAATGAGATTCTCCAGCGCCACACTAATCTCGTTGGATCGAATATAATGTTATATACAACCGGAGGAGCGGATGTGTTGTCCATTCTCACCTTCGGATAAAAGCATGCTGCTGTTAAGAGACACCGGGAATCTACTACAAACGGCCGCCAACTGTGGACGAAATAGACGAATTCATGTGGTGATCCATGCTCTCGAGCATGGCAAATTAGGAGAGGCCGTTGATACGGGTAATAGACCGGAGCGATGAGTAAAATTTCCTCGCAGGAGCGATACTGGTAAGTGGCGGTTTGAGGCTGCAGAAGCTGAGGTGTAATTACTGTTCGCCATTGTCCAACCGGCGACATTGCTCTCTCCGTGTTAGCCCTGGGATTCAGCAAGCCTGGTTGGTTGAACCCTTATTCTTTTCCGCAGTCTACCCCGTGGGGTCGTTAGACATTTACATACTTAGCGGGAGTCTCAGAGCTATGCCCCGCCACGTCTGCAGACGCAGGGCTTTCGTCAATGCAAGTAGACCGTAACCAAAACTGGGGAAAAAGTCAAGGTAAATTTTCCATAATATAGTGGTACTGAGATTCACGAATGGTCACTGGAATTCTCCAGAAGCGGCTCGATGGTGAACTACTGTATGAGTTAGGCACATGGACGGAGAATGCCAGGTTTGCGAATCCTGATCCCCCGCGCCCGATGTTCGATTTCACTGGATTTTGAGCAAGCCAATGACAGCTCCTTGGCATTCAGAAAACGGAAAAGAAATCCTTTTGAACCCTCGAAATATCCGGGGTCTCAGGAAATATTCCCCAAGTGGGCGTAACCTGGGGTTATTGCGGGGCGATTTTCAAAAGTCTGAGACGGTCACTCCTCCCAGCCCTGTGGAACTCGTAAAACCTATGGGAGACCACAGAAATATTCCACTGATTTTAGTTGGGTTCGTTGGAAGGTTTAGGAGTAGCGGAGGCGGTCGTTCGGCGTTTATTACACTAACTCCACATGCGTTGGCTATATTATATGGACGGAGTACACAAACCTATCCTGCACCAAGGCTACTCGCAAACCCCCGCATTATACGAACCTGGTTAACTTTGTAACGTACCCAATACACTTCCAATACTCTTGAGCATATTCTGCGTCGCTAAGATGAGAAAAATGCGAGTACTCGAGAGTATCGGGAAAATCCAGAAGTCCTCCAAACATATGCTGTCGACTTACAACCCAACCTTTCTTCGTTTTCTTTCCAGTAAGTATATGAAACGGTGCTTTTTTGGCCGCTGGCTTCAGGTCTGGTGGCAGCAAAATTACTCGCGCTAGATGGGAGGCTAGCGTCCAATCTTGAAAACAAGTCGTGCGAAAAGCAAGATCACCTGTCTGGTCGGTATAGGCTAGCAATCTGATCGGACAAATGAGGCCAGGAATTAGGTCCGGCGGGTCCAATTTTGCGGATCGATTGGAGAGAAAGCCACAAATGTACTAGGACTGATTAAAATACCCTACAGATGGCTCCGGTACCTAATGTTACGGGTGCTGAAGTGCCAAAGATACCAAATTACTATACGTAACAGCAGGAAAAGCGGATCGCTGGGTATAAGACCTGTTCTTGCCGTAAGTTATCGCATGTCTCGACATGACCACTAGACTGACGTCCTAGGTCGGTTATATAGAATATAGCATTTCACGTGCCCCTGTGTCTGTTGCCCCCGTCGTTTTTATACCGTATGAAGGAGGAACCGTTAGCATTGGGTTTGATCTAATGAGCTGTGAGAACAGTGGAATATTGTTGACTGAACCAATATGAGACCCGCGAAAGCGTGCTATGCCTGCCGGTGGAGTCCCTCTCCCCTCTTGCCAGCGTCCGGATTCTGAGCTGACAGGCCCTAGTCTGCGGAAGCGAAAATGCGATATCGTGG